TTATTTTCATTTCAGAATGCAACTGAAAGAGGTCCCGGATGCTAAGAAATCTATAGAGGATGTTTAGAATATCTACGGAATTGCATTGGATTGAAGCCATGGTGACGGCAAAGTAGAAAATTTTCACCACCCTAACTCTTCCCGCGTCGTATAACGTCAAGTTTCTATAACCTACCTATCTGTAGATTTGCTTTACACATTTTGTATGGAGCTCATGTCAAAATTCTGTCTCTATAGTAAGCAAATCTACAGATAGATAGGTTATAGAAACTGGACGAAGTCAAGTAAGGGACTACACATTAGACAAAGACTAAGACAACAGCGCTCTACAATAAACCCGATTCTTTTTAAAACTGCGTTTTCCAACCTGACTGCCAAGAGTGGTGATTATGACATAACTCTTACGTAGATAATAAGAAAGTCCACATTTCACGGCCTGTTGGGAGATCCTTAAATTCACTTTTAAATTAAAGAGTCCTACGTCCCAAAGTGGAAATCCAGCCAGTCATTATCAGATTCTACAAAATCTGTAGTAGTAATATCATCATCAGCATCATATCAGTCATAAGACGACCACTGCCGAACATAGTATTCCCCCAATGACAGACGACCTGATTAAGGTCGCAGGGAACCGCTGGATGCAGGTCGCTACCAACTGGCCTGCCTTGCAGTCATTGGGAGAGGTCTATGTTCAGTTAATATAAACATGTAGAATATGTTCATATGAATCGTAACCAATAGAGGATTATGTAGTCAATGCTGAACCGAAAACTATCTAGAGAACGGTCAGAAGAAAGAACTAGGCAGATTTCAATAACCCACAAAGTGTTGCAAAAATACTGACGCAGGTATAGATGTCATTGTTTTTGCAACACTTTGTCGCAGTGGTCTCATTACGGGTGATGGTGAAAATATAGAAACCTCGTGAAAATATAGCGTGGTGACATATCGACAAATGATGGATGTCGCACAGAGACGATCAACGACAGACACGATCACCTCGCCTGGTCGGAGGATCATCCTTTTCCGATCTTAAGGAACTCTACTCACTGTTCCGTAAAATAGAAACCTACCTATGTGACAAATGATTGCACGGTTGGCGTAGTCGCTGGTTGACCGGCTGCTGTACGTGTCGCGGGTCCTATTCCCGCGTAGGGCAAAAAGTAAAAGCAGCTCATTTTTTGAGTAAAATGACAATTATTTACCCGGAATCAGAAAGTTCGGTGGTGTCTACCCTGACCGCGCCTGACCTGTCTTCGATCTTGTCAGTCTGCCATCCCATCCCTGCCGGGTTCAGAGAGTGAGGGAACAGAGAGCGCAGCTGTGTTTACGCACACACTTGTGCACTATAGTATCTCCTGCGTAGTGGGCTAGTCTTGTTAGACTTCGCACCATTATCGAAATCTATCGGGAGACTTTATTATTTATTTATAGAAACCTGAGTTTCTAAAGCAGTATAAGAAATACAAAATACGTATTATAAAACAAAACAATGGTAGTATTAAACTTGCAAATCTTAGTAGTACCTACCTAAGTAGTAGTAGTTACCGGTGGTTATGGAAAAAAATTTGGCAGTCCAATTAATGAGAAAGGTTATAGGCTATTTTATTTATTTTATTTATTAATGCTGATCATTGTAACGGGAGCGGTGAGGTTCTATTAGCCGCGCGTTTTGCAGGCGGCTTGAGGAGTTGAGTATAAGGTTTTAATCGACACGAAATGTGGTATCTAGCTCTTAACCCTTTAAGTACCGTCATTATAGACACAATTAAAGAACAATAGGTTGCGGTCACCGGTGTCCTCGCGGTGTTTGACAGTTTAAACCACTTGCTGAAGTACTAATTTTGTTTCTTTTTTATATATATAGATAGAGGGAAATCATCGAATGGCTTCTCCCGCTGAAGTGGTACTGAACCAGCCAAAAGGGGGCTACCATATTTTTCGCTCCCTAGATGGAGCTAATTTTCTGTTGGACGAGACTCACTCTGAGTCTCGTCCAACAGAAAATTAGCTAATGGGACACCGTTGGTCTTTCTATTATGATACACAGTGATTGGAAATATTTTCCTCTTGCTAAATTGGCGCGAAACAACGATAGCGTCCATTATTATGTTCATTAATTTGTATACACACATACAGAATACTGACACCGCAACAAATTTAAAAAAATAAATAAACCAGATGTAAAAGTGACAAATAGAACAAGTCTGTAGATATACATCCTGGGTTAAGCATAAATAAATTGGCAATACACCAATTTAAAAATATATTTTATAGATAATTAACGCAAAAAGTATGACTTAGCATGACTTAAATAGCTATTAGTTACTTCAAATAATTAAAAATATTTGCAATTTATTTTTTAGACAAAAACATATGTAGACAAGCAAAAATCAGTCTTATTTTACAAATGAAAAAGTGTACAATGATAGAACCTCAATAATTGATGGCATGCGGTGGCACAGATTGTTGTTCCGGGTCTGGGTGTCATGTGTATGTAAACTTGTATGTTTGTAAACACACTCTATGTTCACATTAGGTTTTTACCCTGTGCACGGCACAGGGTAAAAACCTAATGTGACACATTTTTTTTTTAAAGTTATTGTCACTTTCCAGACTTGTATATTGTAGGAGTGGGCACAGATGTGGTAATGCCATATCCAATAAAAACATGTATACTCTACTTGATACAAGTACATCTTTTATTTAACCTAGGAAATAAACCTTGGAATTGAAACTCAGCAGTATACTTTTCTTTTCTTTTAAGAAAACATTGCCCCGCACTAGGATTTTCTCCTGTGTCGTGTCATTACACCCAGACCCGAAACAACGATTTGTGGAGCACACAAAGTGTTGTTCCGTCTAGGAATCGAACCCGCGGCACGCTGCATGGCAGCCGGTTGCCCAGCCACCGCACCAACCGTGCAGTCAGTCAGTTCTTTATCACCATATACCTAATTACTTATATATATGTAAAAATTAGATCTAACTAAGACTTACCTTAACAATCACCGCTATGTACTGGTTGCATTTCACATATTTCTCCCGAGTTCATAATAACATTGAAAAGAGGTGTATGTCGAGACATAGCAATGTATGTAGGACCTGAAAAATAACAAAGTCAGCCAGGAAAAGCAATTATGATTATACTAACTTAGTTTTGAAAATTTATCTAAGAACAGAGATATATTTTGGGGCAATTTTTTTTAATAAATAACATAACCGTATAATGTCACGTAACATAACGCCTTTTATCCCCGAAGGGGCAGACAGAGGTGCATATTACTGCACTTAATGCCACTGTACAATGTAACACTCACTTTTCACTGTTAATGTTATAAGTCCCATTTAATAAGGGGTGAGATTGTTGCCATTTACCAGGCATAATTTCAGAGTCCACTGAGAAATTACTTTGTCCGACCCGGGAGTCCAACCTGGGACCCCTTGCTATCAAATGTGGGAGTCGAAAAGTAAAGTATATTAAAATGTTTTTAACTTTTCTAATATTCAATACAGTATTTATACATTCAGTACTGTATGTACACAAATGGTAAATATGTGACTGATCAATCCCCAAGCGGTCACCAGTGACTGCTCTCATACTAACTGCATTGTAGACCTTATATATACGATGCTTAGAGCTTACTTTTGTATGAACAAATTTTGAGGAATTATATCAAGTGATTAAATACGTTTTGGAAACTTGCGAAAATTAAAAATAATAGATATTATATACTTACACTTAATAGATTTTAATATGAATACTTATAAGAAACACTTCCAACTTTATATTGTTTACAAACACCTCTCACCAGCACTCTGAAAAGTCATTACACTCTTCTTATTGTAAAATGCAAAACACAATAAATAAAATTACTCAATTTACCAAAGCAAATCCATTTCTTATACAAAACTATAGTATTATGTAAACACATATATATCTTGCGAAATTTGATCACTAACACTTACTGAAAATTATGAAAATAAAATTGATAATACAAAATCCTGCAAGTACGCAGTTGAAGAGTTTTATTTAATATCTCTATAGATTTTAATTACTATGAATATTTCTGGAAAAGTATAACCAGACAACTGTCAAGAACCAAGGTTGCAGTATCTGATTTTACGGTTTTAGCGACTTATTCATGTTATTAAACTGATGAAAAAAATTTTCATATATCTCTACTATCTTTCACTTCAAAAGATATGCACATTTATAATCAAGCACTAAGCTAGAATCGATTAATTAGGTTATAATGCTGTTATTTATCCACTTGCACTTTCGAGTGAAAAGTGCATTCCAATAAAACTTATACGTATATGTAAGCAATGCAATTTATAACACTGCTTACACCCGTGGAAAATTATACAGCTATTTCACTCTTATGCAATGAAACCATCAAAACCAAAACCTAGTATTGGAACAAAACTTTGTGTTGCCATTATTAATGAGTAATGTCAAAATGACATTTAATAAAAGATAATTTTTTATCTCTTTTGTTTTCCACAGTTTCTACGGATTGTAAAATAAAAATAAAAATGTTTATATGACTGAACAAGGCATTGCTACTAATAGAAAATAGTGAATAATTAATTAATATTAGAAAGTGGCAACATACTATAACATTCCTCACCACGCAGATTCCTGAAGATGTTGATAGTAATATTTTTTATTTAACTAAACGATTTTTGTTCCAAATTAATGAAATTACATTTACTTACAATGTTTAATTCCATATATGTATTTCGAAAGTAACAATTACATTTTCTATGTTTATTTACTCAAAAACACTTTTCTCTATTTTCGTAACACGCTCCGTTCCGAATCACTACTGACGTGTAACTTTTCCTGGCAACTTTTTCGCAAAAAGCCGACGACGTTTCTCATTTCGGGCCAACTCATCGGTCTTTTTGACATAGAATATGTTTGTTTTCAGTTCTTTATGTTATGAATTGTGACTGAATTATTGAGGATTAGATATAATTATTAAATTAAAAACATGGAGGTGCATTATCTCGTGTTTGTTTTGAGTGTTTTATGGCACGGCACCGACGCGATCATGTGGAGCCTCGCGCCCAACACACAAAAGTGTTTGAAGGAGGAACTCCACGCTAACGTGCTCGTGGCAGGAGAATACGAAGTCACAGAAGTTACCGGACAGAGAGTTGACTATATCGTAAGTTATAAAGATGTTTTTTTGGCTAAAGTCCATCCACCATACGGCGCTGATATAACTGTAAACCCGCCGATTTGTCATGTTGTAACACTAAAAAGATCTTTAAAATATCAATTGCCGGTTGTCTAATCAAATCTTATCTATAAATAACTCGTATTTGTGGCACATTAAATGTCCACCTCAAGAGACATCATAATAATTTTGATAGATTCCTATAAAAAAAAAATCTCATAAGAATCTAATTAATAAAAGTCCTTAATATAAATTTATAAAGAAAATGCTAATTATTGTGTTGCTGATAATTGCAACATTATATCAAATTTAAAAATCAAACAATTTACTGTTTAATGGATATGTAATTAACATTCAAGTTTGCAATATAATTCACCATTCATTCTAATTTAGTGGAACTGTTCAATGTGATAAGGCTCTCGTTGCTAAAACAACAATGTTTTTAATTTTCTCATTGACTTTAGTGTACCTTTGTATAGTCTAAGTAGAAATCATTATTACTCTACACTTTAATTAGATAATTGTATTTGAAATTGGAAAAAAACATTGTTATAAAGTGAAACAGTTTCTGTATACTGAATCCGCAAGTGTCATAGTTATGATGTGATCTATCATTATGTTTATCCTGATTATAATTTAAAAAGTAGACGACATACACAACATCAATAATATGTAATTAAATAAACCTTAATAAATTTATTATTAGGGTTTTATCCAACTGTCGGAAGGGTATTGTTATCGCATATGTATTGTTTGTAATTACCTATAATTTGTATTAATTTTTTCAGATTCGTGACTCCAAAGACCACATATTGTCACAAAGAGATTCCATATCCAAAGGGAAATTCACATTTGTGACAGAAACTTACGACACATTTGAAGTCTGTTTCATATCTAAAGTTCCTCCAGGTAAGATGGAAAGAGAAATTTAATTCATTTTACTCTTCATAGACTTTGTAACTTCCTCGGAAACATACCAATAACACATATAATAATGAACTATATCACTAGAGGACATTAAAACTTGATGTTATTAAAACCAAGCAAAACAAAACAACCAAAAAAAATATTATGTCAACTATCGGGAGACATACTTAATTAACTATAAATCATGGGTTACTCAAGTGAATATACTAAGAAAAGCTCTATTAGTTATTTGAGCCACAGATCAGTATGCTGCGCGACATTGCCTCATTGCCGCCGCTACTCATGAGGCCCTCTGTGGCTCGAAATTAGTAGAGCTTTCCTCAGTATATTCACGTGATTAACCGGTGATTTTTAATTAACCTAAATATAAGTTAAATAAACCTTAAGTAGATTTAATCAGTTTTTCAAAATTAATTCATGCCAAAAAGTCTGCCAATGATAATAATAATTATGATTTCATAATTGTGGTAGATTTGTACTCTTTCAATTTATGGTTCATCTGTTGATCATGGTGTAATTAACATTAAAAAAGTAAATATCCTTTTGTTTGTATAACAACACAGCTGCATATTTATGATGTCAGTACTCAATGAAACAAAGGACAACAACCATACTCATATTATAATGTAATAGATAACAGTAATATCTCATCAACAGCCTATAAATGCCCACTGCTGAGCAAAGCCTCTTGTCACACGGAGAAGGTTAGAGCATTAATCACCACGCTTGCTCAATGCGGGTTGGCGATTTCAAACTTATAATATACTTATAAGTCCAGGTTTCCTCACGATGTTTTTCCTTCACCGTTTGTCAGTGGTGTCTAAATAATCTTAGAAAGTACATATAACTCGGAAAAAGTCACATTGGTACTTGCCGTTGGTAGGTTTCGAACCCGCACCCTCATGCATGAGAAGTGGGCGTCTTAAACCTCCGGGCCACCACGACATATATAATCGACATATATTTTCCGAGTTATATGTACTTTCTAAGATTATTTAGACACCACTGACAAACGGTGAAGGAAAAACATCGTGAGGAAACCTGGACTTATAATTTCTAATTATAAGTTTGAAATCGCCAACCCGCATTGAGCAAGCGTGGTGATTAATGCTCTAACCTTCTCCGTGTGAGAAGAGGCTTTGCTCAGCAGTGGGCATTTATAGGCTGTTGATGATGAACAGTAATATACATTTTGCTGTAACAATGTCAATGCAACATATCGAAAAACCTGAAGATTCCTATGAATTTGAAATCATTGTTGAAACAAATTACTTTTATAGCATAAATGACATTGTTTCAATTTAAAGATTTTAAATCTCTAGTGATTGTAATTTTGAAACATCATTCATTTTCATTTCCAGTTTTTCAGTTCAGGCCTTCCTGGTCTAATTGAAATAATATTGGTTTTGAATTTAATTTAATATTCTATCATCTAAATCGCATTCTAAACATGTAAATTCGGAGCCGCGGAGAACTTAACACGTTAACACGTTGCCGGGGCTCCGGCTCGAAGGGCAGGAAGTTGGAACGTGGTGGTTTTTAGTAGTAAGAGTTAGAGTCTGACACTCCCTCCCACCCAGGCTCCGAGCAGTCATTCGATGAATTTCAAAAGTTTGTAATCGCTAAACCCCAGTGAGCAAGCGTAGTGATTAATACTCAAACCTTCTCCGTGTGAGAGGAGGCTTTGCTCAGCAGTGGGCATTTATAGGCTGTTGATGATGATGATTTGAAAAGATAGATGAAGCACCTATATTTAATTATTAATTTTTATCTTCTACTTACAGAACGCCGTGGCGTCTCACAGGATGTAATGCTGGATATCAAAATCGGAATTGAAGCTAAAAATTATGAAGGCGTAAGTTTCTTTTTGAATTTTCTCCTATTTCATTAAATCATCTTTATATTTTATCTTTACTTCATTTCTTTATTTTAAAAACATTATTTCTAGAGTTGCCTTTTTATAACTGGTAACTTTCTGATTTTTTACATGGCAACATCTATTTTGTACCATAGATTTGCAACACTATATTTATGTACAATATGTATGATAACATATATTTTCTTGATTATCGGTGACCACAATCTCCACTTCAGAACTCTTGGGTAATATTGTGTGGGCTTTCTGTGTGACTTACAAAAAATAAATCATGAGTTGTTTGTTTGAAGCATGTTGTAACGTAGTCACAATATTATTGAACCTTTAAAACAATAGTAACACATTAAATCTGAGATAACTCGATGTAAAATTACCCACCCACTAAATTAAAATTACTTATATTATTATTAATGTACTATGCACGCTATTCCCCACTTATTATGGTACATACACTAACTACATAACTAAACAATAATAAATGTTAAATTAGAAACCTTACCATAACAGAATGATTGACGATAATAAAAAGTATATCTCTAGTATGTACCATTATAGCATGCATTTATTAAAGTTTATTACAAGTCCTAAATAGTAAGTTCTTTTGTAGATTGGTGAAGCAGCAAAACTGAAGCCAATGGAACTGGAACTGAAGAGATTAGAAGACCTGTCAGAAGCTATAGTCCAAGACTTCACATTGATGAGAAAGAGAGAGGAAGAGATGAGAGACACCAATGGTAAATATTCGCTTTTATACGTTTTTCTATACATGAACATGTCATTTTTGTGATGCTTGCATATTGTACTATAATTTGAATAATGCCTCGCAGTTTCACAGATAGCGAGGGTAAAACAATGAGATCATGATTGCTATCTAAATACTATACAAATACATGCTTTACTTCAATTTCTAATGTAATATTCTTAATAAATAATGTTTCATGAAATAAACTAACAAACGTTATTGTAATTTTGATCATAGTTTCCTATGTTTTTTTGTTTCAGAGTCCACAAACAACCGTGTACTATTCTTCAGTTTATTCTCAATGGCATGTCTCTTGGGTCTCGCCACGTGGCAGGTTCTCTACTTACGCCGGTATTTTAAGGCCAAAAAGCTTATTGAATAGCACAATACATATTTAGCTGCGGCTAAAGTTGCGTGCGGGCTCATAGACTAAAACTTTGCTAAGAGGTTGCATGCGTCAAGTGTGTTTTACATGATCTCTTTTTTTAGTCTTTGTATTTCAAACTATTCCCTTTTTCAAACCTTTGTTAAAGATGTAAATAATGTTATTTTGTTGTTATAAAACTACTAATTTTGTTCTAACATGGTAGAATCCAAATCATATGATGGCAACACTGAATTCGATCAAATCCTAGTGATAATGAAATGTCCCAGTGACCACTGATCAGTGCATCACACCACAACACCCCGCAGGCCACTTTAACCGCTGAATAGATCTTATTATTACTTTATATTTAAAAGAATAAAAAGTTTGGAATACTTAATTCAGATTTATTATTTAATAATTTTGTTGTAAATGATTGCGTTCTTGTCTGTTTACGAATGTGGTAAATAATATATTTGAAATATTATATTGTTTTATTAATCTTTTAGACTGAAATCAATTTATAGATTTAGTCTTAGTTTAACTAAATTCAATTTAATAATTCTAAAACGGTAGGTAAACACTGTCCACACTGCAAACTAAAACTGAAGTCATACTTAAAAGTTTAATAATAAACACATAAATAAAAGTCATAAAAATTCGGTAACTTATGTTTAATCTCGTAGAAACTGATTTAATCGGATTTTCGTAGGGTTCACAAGGTATCACTCGTTGGAAGAGCAGTTTTTTATTATGTAACAAAATATTGTACCTTTACATTTATAAAAAAAAACATGAAGGGTTTGACAACCATTCTTTCTATTATAAAAATACCTAATCGCAGAAACCGTCTAGAATAAGCATTCATTTGACTAAAACTGTCGCCATCTTTTTCTTACGAACGAAACAAGAAGGACAGATGTTTTAGGTATTTTATCACAATGTTATTAACAAAAAATATTCACTAATGAAAATAAATAATTAAATACATATGTAATTATTGTGACTTGAGTACAGTACAGTACTATCCCCTTCTCATTCCGTTCTTATTTAGAAGAAAAAGATAGCAATATGTTTTACTTGCTGGTAATATTATTCTATTTTACATAATTTCTGCTTCAGGTAAAGAACTATACAAGCTCATTTTGGGGCATTTTTTTCTCAGAACGATAGAGTTCTCTCTAATATGATTCGTTTATGTAGAAATGGGTTTGTACATCCCCAATGTTTACTTAATAAATAAGCCGAAATATTTTATATGGCATTTTTAAGTATAAAATTTTCCAATATACAGAAACTCCCAAGTCATGGACGCAAAAAAAGTTTAAATAAATGCACTTTTTTATTCAAATGCTTCGTCTTCCAAACAAATATTAAGTCCATAAATACAAATGCAGATAATTTTAAAAAAATTAAATTACTTAAGTCCGCGCAAATAATAAATAAAAAAATAAAATGTTAGAACAAGACGGAGTCGTTATGTACATTTTTAAAAATAAGTATTTGTGTAAAAATATTTTAATGTGGAATTAACTAGGTATTTATTTATAAATTTGCTATTCTATAGTATTACCATAGGTATAGGGCACTATTCGCGAGGTCTCTGTGTACTGAGGAAGAGACACTGCTTGGTTAATAAGGGTTGGCACTTGACAGTATCCAATTATGATTATGACAGATATCGGTTGCATTTCCCACTTTATTATGTACATGGATAAAGGTAGAAATTCACAAATTAGCAACCGAACTTGTCGTTATCAATTTCAGAACTGTCGGCCCAGCTATAATAGTAGTTTTACTGCAACAGCACATCTAGTCTAGCACACAAGAGCTCTTTAAGTATTTTCCAAAACCAAGTGACGAAATTCCTTGTTTGATTAATCATTTGGAATGTTAAAATACAAATAAAAGCAAATAGAAAGGAAATATAGAATATAAAAATATACTACAACATATAGCTATATCTCATAAATTCATAATACAACATACAATTTAGACTAATTTACAATAAACCAATACTTTACAAGCAGGTAATTAAAAGGTAATTAAAATTTATATTAATTTAAAATAAAATAAGTATTTGTGGTAATGTGTACAGTAGGTAAAAAGAAGGAATTTCTTCATCACAACATTATAAAATCATACAAAACTTGAAACTTACAATCATCCCACCGAAATCATAATTGCACAGTACATTTAATTAACTTATTTCTAGGGAACACGGGACCACTGGGTGGTCATGTGTATGTTTGTGATCATCAGAGTGGGTAGTAGTCTAGTTGCACCGTCAGATGTTTGACGCCGACCTCGCGGAAGATCCGCGCCGTTTGCTCAGTCACGTATCTAGGGTCCACTTCCTTGGCTACTTCTATTTTAAGTGCACCGACGTGGACGTCACTACACAGGGTCCAGAAGTGCGGCTCGTGCACGGCGTGCACGCCGGCCAGGCCGACCACACGCGTGTACAAGTTAGGCAGGGCGCGCTCTAGCGAGGTAGGAGTCCGTTGCATCAGCACGCCCGCCGAGTCACGCACTAAGGGTATCACACTAGCGGCTATGAGGAGAGCTATAGCCATGGAGCAGATTGGATCAGCTCTCATCCAGCCGAATGTCTTCATAAGAATGGCTGAGATGATAACACCGACGGAGCCCAACGTGTCGGCCAACACGTGTAGGAACACTCCTCGCATGATGGCTGAGCCGGCACCAGTGGGCGCCTCGCTGTCGTCATCGTGGGAGTGGCCGTGGTGGTTGTGTGAGTGGCCATGCCCACCGTGGGAGTGCCCGTGTCCACCGTGGCCATGCCCGTGCCCGTGATGGAAGGCGTATATGCCCACCATATTTACTAGGAATCCCAATATTGACACCAACAGGAGACGTTCATGTTTAACCTGAAACATATAATTTACTGATGAGTACTTCACAAGGCGAAAAGTGCTCAGGATTTCGATAGAAGGTATTTCGTAAACATATCGTTACTAAGTTAGTACGCATACAATATACAAAATTTTAAATACGTAGACAATAATAGAACAAGTACACATTGTTCAAAAGTATTATCTAAGGTAGACATCCGTTGAGACTTCCTAAGTATAAACTAAAATAAATTGTCTGATAAGATTTTTTACAAATGTATAATCACTCTCTCAGCCGGTAGCAGGCGATAATGTGGTCTGTTTAAGGTACATGCAAGGAAAATATTTTAAATTCTATGCGGTCTATTCTGAGACAGGAAACTGTCAATTATTTTCATAACGGTATGTACTACCAAATCAAAAGTACTTATAATAAATTGATGACGTAGATCAGACGAAACGTGGTTGCAGTACAGTTGTAATCATACGATAATATCTTACGACTACAATATAACACCGAGATACGTTAAACACGTGAATAAAACAAAAGGATAACATTTATCTATATCACGTTAGGCTGGAAATATGTCAGCACGTGTCGTCTTGTTACGAGGATATTCCTTCATCTTGAGTAACGAAAATAATGAAATTATTTCGAAAGCATTTTCGTGCTATAGGTTTTGGGTTATATTATTCTTAAAAAGCAAACAGCGTACATTTTTTTTCTAATTTTTATGTATATCGATTGAATTATACGGTTTACGCATTTGAACTTTTCGAAAGAAGCTCGACTAGTTTAGAGTCTCATCGGGGTTCATACCAGTTAAGTATTTTATCAAACAGTTTACGTGTTTAAGCTGCATGCTTCAATTAGTCTAGCATGTTTCACGACATAGAAGAGACTCTAGAACAATATTGGCGAAACTGAGTGAAATGTAAATAAATACGTTACATAGCAGGTGCAAATTGTGTCACCATCTTGATCATTATTAGGATATAGACGAGTACAGTCTAGTAATTGGACCATCAATGTCCAAATGGCTATTAAACCTTATGGCCTTTTAACACGCGTTGTCGATTAGAACACAAAATGTAAGAGTCCAGTAATTTTTGGCGAACTCGCAATCTGATAGACCAAAACGAAATTCGCGACCAGTTCAAGTCAGTCAAGGTCTGTGCCAAAAAAGGCTACTCATTTGGCCCTCGAAGAAAATCACTTATAGCGTCAATTCGTAAGGGAAATTGAACCTTTAGTCTCTTAAATAGGGTCCATATGTTTTCGCCTTTGTGGGTTTCGGTTGTCTCGCTCACCACATACGTAGGTATTATAGCCCGTCTGGCCACGTTCATCTGTTTTTGTGAAATTACGAATGCGATGAAGATAAACTAAAAAACTAATGAGTCTGAGTGCCAAATCGAGTCCCATGAGATAAGGTATTCACCATAAATCAAATACAGATGTGTGATAAAAGAGAAAGGTTCTAGTGTACCTATATTTTACTTCTATTAAGAAAAAACCCTGTAAATAAATAAAAATTAAAAAAAAAAACTAATTTTTGTCTAAGTAGTCCAAATAAAGGCTAATTAGGAATTGATTGCAACGAGCAGGATAATCTTATTTTTATTAATCCATCGTTTAATTATTTCAGTTTGTTGTTGTTAAATCAGACCCTGAAAATTACTCATGGTCATAGGTGTTGCAAAATCTGAGTGTTACTCTACTTGCAAGTTCAAAATGAACAGAGATGGGGCCCATTAGCGCTGATGCCCAATACGGTACCGCGGAGGACTTAACGGGTTGTCAGGGCTCTACGAGCAGGAGTAGGAACGGGGTGAGTTTTAATCAGTAAGAGTCTGACACTCCCTCTCGCCTCACCCAAAGCGGGAAAAATCAATAGATGATTTTCCCCCTTAACTCGTCGAGTACCGTATTTATAGACACAATTAAAGAACAATAGGTTGCGGTCACCGGTGACCGCTTGGTGTTTGACAGTTTAAAAAAAGGTGCGAAATGAAATGCTGACGACAACACCTACATACAGCGTGATTTATCAGCATAAATGAACATCATTTTTATCAAATGTAATTTCGTAAACACAATGTTAAACAATACGTGAGATTTGATCATTACGTCAGTGTGTTGTCACATTCTTAGTAGAAAAGTTACCACGTAATAAACAAATCGAATTGTCTGTCTGTACCTATGTATGTTGTTTCTATAATATTATAAACACTTCACTTTCAAATTAGGATTTTGAGTTGTATAATTATCACGTAGACTTTATTTAGCTATCGAAAATATTTTATAGATCGTTAAGATTCATAACAAGGCAAGTTATAGATGATAGCTCACTTCATATTAAAAAAAAAGGTAAATGAACACAACAACACGCTAATATACTGAGAAAAGCTCTGCTAATATCGAGTTACAGAGGGACTTCCTCATGAGCAGCGTATGCAGTCGCGGCGATGTCTACGCGAAATCCCGTGCCCCGTTATTTTTTGTGTATTCAGTATGTCTCACAATAGATATTAAGATAAAGATATTTTATTTCGCAAATATGGGTACATATCATGGTAGTGCATAATAAAAAATACAGAAACAGCCATATTTTGCCAATTATAAGGCATGCAAAAGTTTTACACATTTTACAATTCAAGACAATAATTCTAAATAATGTCATTCAATTTATAAATAATTCCAATAATTTATCAGTCAATAATATAATTAATGTCACAATTTCTAATAATGATTAAAAAAAACAAAATATAAAACAGTCAAACAATTTCTTTCTCCAATAAAAAATCTGCAATATTATAATAAACTTTGTCGAGTAAAAAATTCCTCAGTCTTTTTTTAAATAATGACACATTATATTCCTTCCAACAGCTTGGTATTTTATTATATATTACCGGTGCCATGCAGCAAACTCCCTTGCGCATCAGAGCTGTTTTAGCCCTGGGGACACATAGACTACTATTATCACGCCTATTTCGCGGAAATACGTCAGCCATTCGTGCGAAGCGCCCCGAGTTTAATTTTACAAACACTGCCATTTCCAAAATGTACAAACATGGTAGAGTCAACAGTTTATATTGCTTAAAATATGGCACGCAGCTATCTGTACTTTTCAATCTAAAAATAGACCGAATGCATCTTTTTTGAGCCTTAAATGCAGTTTCTGTTTCTGTAGAGTTGCCCCAAAAGATAACTCCGTATCGCAGATGGCACTCAACTATACCATAATACGCAGTTAGCTATAGCTGACAAGGTATATAGAGCATATGCAGATGTACTTAATTTCTTGCAGAGTACCTCAATGTGTTGTTTCCAGCTAAGCTTTTTGTCTATTTCAAGCCCTAGAAATTTTGTATTATCTACCTCGTTAACTTTCTTATCATCATATTGCACATTGAGATTGTCTATATCTGCCTTGCGTTGATTAAATTGTATTATTTTTGTCTTATTTAAATTTATTTATTTATTTATCATTTCATGTACCCACACCATACAGACAATATTATAAGACACAACACATTATAGGTAAGCATGAGGTACATAGGTACTGCATATCCCTTAAGGAATTTCTTCCTGCAGACCTGCGACAGGAAAAGGAATATAAACATAAGACATAAGACACAGTGTAAATACATGCAACGAATACAAAACAAAATAAAATTAATGAAAGAACTTAAAACTAGAATGACCGTAGTATGAGAATAAAATATAAACTTAAGCAAATTATAACAAACATAATAAATAAAATAATTAGAAATATTTAAATATGATTACATAAAAATATATACATATGTATATTGTATGTATACATAGATAAATATATACATAAATAAAGCTGTACTTCAGGACGAAAGATAATAATCCCTGACAAGTCGTTTTCTTTTCGTTTCGTTTTATTCTTAAGTTGTTATCCTCTAACCATTTTATAATTAATCTTAACGAATTATTAATGTCAATTTGGTATGTATCTATGCTTTTTAAAGGTATTGTCATGGTACTATCATCTGCGAATAAAGTCACTGGTTGTTCAATCCAATCCGGTAAGTCATTAATGTATATCATAAACAACAAGGGACCCAGCACACTCCCCTGCGGTACCCCAAAATTAACTTTTCGTTCTTCAGATCTGAATATTTCATCCTGTTTATTAAGTAAATTTATTCTGTTAATTTCTGTTATTTGTGTGATATTGTAAAAACTATTAAAAACACAACACCGTGCTTTTAAATAATCCCTGATAAGGTAAGCAGAGCTTATTAGCAGGCAACATTATTTTTACGAAGACCAATCCTCTCAGTGTTTATGAAATCTTCTGTCTTCAAAGTGGTAGGTATTCCCCGAAAAGAGCAAAGGTCTGGTTTACAAAAATACCCGTATACTTAAAATATAATAGAAGTAGTTACCTACATTTGTCTGACCTTAAGAGAAAGAGTTCAATAACACAGTTTTTCAGACAACTCGGATAGATTAGATGTTTGACCTCTACGTCTATCGGTTTGCGCAGGCGTCGAGTGTAACAAGATGGATATCCAAAAAGGATTCTATTTATGTAACGTATGGCGAGGTGAATGAACGTTATGGATGTTAAATAAGATTTTGTACCTTAGTAAACACGCACATGCCTACCTTATTGGCCAAGTGGTCGCAAGTGCGACTGCCGTGCAAAAGTTCTCGGGTTACATTCCCGGGTCGAGCAATGTTTTACTAGGTTTTTAAAACAAATCTCAGTAGTAGCACGGAGCCTGGACATGTGTCCGGTATATGGCAATAGGCTCACCCCCTATTACATGGGAGTCATAATATAAATAATGAAAAGTAGGTGTTACATTTTACAGTGGCATTAAGTGCCGTAATGTGCACCATTGCTTACCTCTTCAGGGTTAAAAGGCGTAATGTAATGTAATGTTAACACACATAAAAAAGACCTACATTTGTATCTAATGTACTTATGTAAAACATTCGTCAGCTACGAGGTTTGAAGGTAGACTGCATCTTTGTCGCGGAGAACCTAACCGGGGCTCCGGCTCGACGTGCAAGAAAAGGAACGGGGTGGTTTTTAGTCAGTAAGAGTCTGACACTCCCTCTCGCCTCACCCAGGCGGGAGCAGTGATTCGATGATTTTCCCTCCTTAGAAAAAAAGACTGCATCTTTGTGATTTTCGAGTGGTTACAAAAGCGACTACCGAATAGGAGGTCATCGGAACGATTACTTATAAAGATTCAGCGTGAAAAAAATTGAAGGTCGATATCTCCCATTTCTTTTTGAAGGTGGCAGTAGCAGTGATTCATAGATCAAATGGAAGCAAAAATATATTAACAATGAAACTGTTCATTTCTAAACAATAATAAAACATTACCTACATTGTCAAGTTTGGACATACAACTTTCATGTAACTAGTAAAATTAGTTCAAGATCTAATTCTAAAGCAGATTTTTCACCGATACCGCAACACAACACCTATTTAGTAGACAAATACCTATTGGTAATGGTTATCAAATACGTGCCTTCTGATCAGAACAATGTGCCAACACAATTTCAACATTATTGCCAAGCAACTGTGTCGAAAATTGCATGGTTTATACAGGGGAAAGTTGAGGTATACTGAGTAAGTTTTTTAGTGTATTTATTGTTGACTTATTACTGATTTGGTTGTATTTTAGATCACTTGTATTATTATGTGGAATTTAGGTACGTAACTTTGTAAATATGGCGGTTGTATTTAGGGTGGAGGTGAGGTCCTGATTAGAATGCAATAGATGGACAATTTATGATGAGCTCATCTTTTTTACTTACAGTGACATTTTAATTATTAATTACACAACTAAATGATTAGCTAATGGAGTTTAGATTTGAGTCTAACTGCCGTACTCAGAGACATATTTCAATAATTATCTACTTAAACTATGACGTTCCATTGAAAATTGTTACAGACTGAGCCTACTCAGTCTACTCAGTACGGCAGTTATTCGTCTTCCTATTTCTGACAATATTTAATACGGTGGCGCTTGAATGCTACGAGTATTTCGCCAAGTGGCGATGAAGCTAGCGACGAGCGCGCTCAAAACTACATTCAATGCTTGATTTCCGATTTGAAGACATCAGGCTGTTCCTGTCTAAATTCTTATTTAAATTTCTATCTTGAAAATGCAAATTTTATAAGTACAAATAATGTTAACCTACTAATGTTATAATCCTATTACTTATAGTCAAACTTAAGCAACTTTTAAATACATGTGATTTTATTCTAAACTACATAGTTTCAAAGATTTATTGTTTTGGACAAGTCAATGGGACCATAAAGGCGATTAGTTCTGCTGATATAACAAGACATTAAGAAACACAACTTACTTTAAAACTTATGGTAAAGATGTAAAGTAGCATTTCGTGTATGTTATGACTCCGTTATCAACTCAAGGAAATTTGTAAAGCGTTGAAATGGTTTGTATTTATGGGTAATTTCATATTCATTTAGTAAGTTGCTAAGTGAAAAAGAGTCTTGGCTTATGGCCAATTTTAATAACCCATTAGTTAGTAGATTAGGTTTCTATACTTAGGTAGAATTTCGGCATTTTTTACAAGGAGTTTAACTATATTAAGTTTATTTCTTTAGTAGGCAATTCTAACATAACATTAAGCCTTTTATCCCCGAAGGGATAGGCCTCTGTGCACATTACGGCACTTAATGCCATTGTACAATGTAACACCCACTTTCACTATTTATGTTATGAGTCCCATGTAATAGGGGGTGAGCCTATTGCCTTATACTCGGCACAATTCCAGACTCCGTGCTACTACTGAGAATTAATTTTACCTACCGACCAACAGTTATTAGATTCCTCCAATATTTACCTTGACATTCAAATACATCATTTACTAAGACTTATTGCCTTGATTTTAAGAACATCACTTCTATTGATAGTTATAAGGATATTTTATGCAATTAACTTAATCAGAAAATGGGAAGTCCCCAGTATACAAAATTTACCTACATTTTAATTCAATTAATTAAGAATCTATTGTTCAAAGTTTATCATTGGTGAAGACTTATATTCAGCAGTAAATGTCTTTTGGACATAATAATGATGAAAGTTCATCAAAACAGAAGCTCTTGCTTTGAATGACATAAATAGTTAGTTAACACAAAATTCGTATCAATGTAGTTAAAGCTACAGAGCATGTATTACAATCATACTAGATAGCATTCTGTGGGTACAGAACAAACAAGTTAATATAAATGTTTTATATTTTGTTCGTAGCTAAGTAACATCCTTTATTTCCTAAAGGTTTAGAGTAAGACAGAGATGTATATTGGATAATATACTAATTGTAACACCCACTTGCCACCTGTTATGTTATGAGACCCATGTAGCTAAGTAGCTTGGTCAAAAGCCAAGTAATTAAACATTATTCAAGTAGATCCAACTTTAGATATCAGAACACACAGTTGATGTTGCAAACTTGTTACACTAAACATCAATGCTGATAAGAGATATAAAAATTCAAGTTATAAGCATAACTTAATCTTTGAAAAAATTATCGGCTGCTGATAAAGTATTGTAGCATAATATGAATGATTTCAAAATATACCTGAATATGTATGAAGTGTATTTATTAATTTCTCCTAATGTAAACTAATTTTCAAATTGTTTATGTTTCGATAAAATAATAAATAAAAATGTTATTAGATAAATACAATTTTTGTTTTACAGGATTAGTGACTACTTTATCTTGTATTATTATTAGGAGAAGTGTGATGTAAACTCATTGGATTAGGTCTAGTCTGCACATATCTAGAATAATAATTACTTTAAACAAACCTATTTATACAACTGATATCAACCTAAATCTGAACGTAGTTGTTAGCATATAATTTAAGTAACTACATTTCTTCATCCACTTAGTAACCAGATGTTATACCCTAACTTTGAAGGAAAATAAACAAAAAGGAGTATTTACCTCAGGTGGCTCGATAGCTCTTTCCACAGCCTCACTCATAATGAAAAATGCTATAAATAACAGGAACAGTCCATTTACAAAACCAGCCAGTACTTCAGCTCTTGCATATCCATAAGAATATCTTTCGTTTGCACGCCATTTAGACACTAAGGAAGCAGCCAATCCTGCCACCAGGCCCGTACAATCAAAGAACATGTGGAATGCATCAGATATTAGACCTACAACAAACAATAAAATATAAAACTATTGCTTTATGGCACAATATGCTCTGAGGCTATCAATTTTCAAAACATATGTTGATTCATTAATATTGTGTTCTGTACTTACCTAAACTATTCGTCCATATACCATAAAATAATTCAACAAACGCAAATGACAAATTTAGAAGAAGGAACATGAATAAATTCCTAGAATTCTTATCAGAATAAATTAGTCTCATCCAATTTGCGATCTTTTCACGTATTCCACCAACTGTTCCACGCGGAACCCGCGTGTCCTTTTGCGTAAGGGGCAGCATTGTTTCTATTTTATTTTTTACGGTTTCTTTACGGCATTTCACTCAAAAATCACAAAAACAGATCTTCAAGCAACATAGCTGCATACGTGTACTTGACAAGCGGTTCTAACCTCGCACGATAATAACTCTAAGTAAAAAAAATAAGACAAAATACTATATGTAAAACACTTCAGTGTCTATAATCGTTACTTATTTTATTTACGTGAACTTTAATTAAGATTTTTTTATTATTTTATAAACTTTACATCGTGCGACAACTCAACTTGTCGTTAATGAACTGTCAAAATGACTTAAATGTTACCAATAAAGAAACAAAGATGAGGCACGATTTTAAGAATTGAGAAAACGATTTCTTAACATTAATGTTTTATTCTTTTTAATTTTAATAAATCAAAAATGTACCTATTATTTTAACTACGACCAAAATGTGCGTAACTGATTAGGTTTTACTTATCACAATTTGTTTGACACCAAGCCCGATAAATAGAATAACAAACATCCCTAAGGAAAATTTAAAGAAAAATATATTAATGCAGGTAAATTCTTATTTATTATGAGAAGCTAGCTTTAAAATATAAACCAGCTTTTAAAATTATGAATTAATATTAATTTCATTTTAATTAAGTAAAATTATGAATTTCGGTATTTTTCTTCTAACCTAGACTTTTGCATTGTCTATGCTGAGAATATTTGCAATTTAAAAACACTGAACTTTTTTCTATTGGCTAATAATGACATTTATATGTTTGTAACCAATGACATAATAGATCTACAAGAATTATTTGTAAACGAGAGAGCACTTCGTGATGAGTCATAGACTTTCAATTGACACTCGTTTCCGGAAAAGTTTGCATAAAATCTATGAACTGTAGTTTACATTGTTTATGGTTCGAAATTATAAATTCAAATAAAATTATTTTATTATTTTAAAAACTCAAATTATTACACTTACTTATCCTTAGATAGTAATTTTAACAACAAAATACATTTTGAGTCATTTTTACAGCCAAAATACATAATTTTATTTTCTTCCCGCCAAGTTTTCAAATCAATTCCACCGGATATTCGTCTATAGATGCGTTTGTTTCCGAAAAGTGAACGTTTCACGAGTCAACAGCAACGTCTTTCGAGAAGTTCTAGGCGCTGTTTGCGACATTTTTCCTTCTTTTATCCGTCATCCAATGTTTTATGTGATGAAATAACACGTTGATTAACGCTTATTTTCAATATTAGTGTTCATAGTCGTAATTAAGTAATCACTAGATTACGATATAAGCTAATATGGGCGACGAAAGCCATCCTAAAACTCTCTACGTCGGTAATTTGGACGCGAGTGTTACAGAAGTATTCATATGTACGTTGTTCGGTCAAATAGGCGAAGTAAAAGGTTGTAAGATAATCCGCGAACCCGGCAACGATCCGTATGCTTTCCTCGAGTTTACAAGTCACACGGCGGCAGCTACAGCTCTGGCCGCCATGAACAAGCGAGTGGTCCTCGACAAGGAAATGAAGGTTAACTGGGCTACGAGTCCTGGCAATCAGCCGAAGACTGATACCAGCAACCATCATCACATATTTGTAGGAGATTTATCACCGGAAATTGAAACGCACATATTGCGAGATGCATTTGCTCCGTTTGGTGAAATCTCGAATTGTCGGATAGTCCGCGACCCACAAACGCTCAAATCTAAAGGGTATGCTTTCGTTTCTTTCGTTAAGAAGGCTGATGCAGAAGCCGCTATTCAAGCTATGAATGGGCAATGGTTAGGTTCCCGGTCCATACGTACGAACTGGTCGACGCGTAAACCTCCATCTAAGCCTAATGAAGGTGCACCGAGCAGCAAGCGAGCAAAACAGCCAACGTTTGATGAGGTATACAATCAGAGCTCACCGACAAACACAACAGTGTACTGCGGCGGGTTCACTAGCAATGTTATTACTGAAGATTTGATGCAGAACACATTCTCACAGTTTGGCCAGATACAGGATGTAAGAGTGTTCAGGGATAAAGGTTATGCCTTCATTAGGTTTACAACTAAAGAAGCGGCAGCACATGCCATTGAAGCAACACACAACACAGAAATTAGTGGGCACATAGTCAAATGTTTCTGGGGGAAAGAGAACGGAGGAGGCGATAACCAGGTTTGTATATTTATGTACAGGTAATTAACATTTCTTTGCAGCCTACAGAGCAAATATTAGGCGAAAAGAGGTGTAAAAATTCTGATTTGGCACTGAAGAAAGATATTTTAGAAAGTTTAATGAAATTTATGCTAACATGTGGGCATTATGCTAGATTGTATGGGGAAACCAGTTAATTATGGTCACAAAAGTAAATATGTTGCCAAATCAGTAACTTTTGTGTGTAAGTATTATACAGGTAAGTAAATACATTTAAAATGTATATTTTCAAGAAGTTTATTCAGAAATAGTTATTTTATTTTGCATTTGTCATTTTGTAAACAAATTAATTATTTTAAATTCCTCATAGTCGAAGAAAGTTGCAATTGGAAACTATGTACTTAATATTCAATATGTATCAGTTGTAAATAGCTAATACTGAACTTCATTTCATTTCTGTTAGTCTGCATATATTTAGTGGCAATCATGCAAGAATTCAATCCTGGAGATTTTACTCCGGTCTTATCTACCTTTGTAGTCAGCTAAATAATGGAAGATAAACAACACCCTAGCAACCGGCCATTTTGGTCATAATGCTTGAAGTTTTGATTATATGGCAAAATAACAAACACCATTCATATCATAGCATTATATCCAAGCTCTTGATCCTATAAATTACATCACTCTAGGATAAATATTGAAGTAAATATTTTCAACACTTGTTTGAATTAAATCCTACCTGCCTAGCCTATCATGCCTCGATTTGGGGTCTATCTATGGTTGATAAACAACCACTGCCAGTAAACAACCATTACAATGGTGGTCAACCAATTATAACCTAACTTACAATTCCACATAGCAACACTTATTATTCATGAATGATAAGTCCTAATTCTTTTTCGTGACACAATATTCTACAAGCTGAAAAGTAAATAAAACCATATCAAATAATCAGTTTTTATTACGCATTGTAATTGGGTCAGTAAATATTAGAAATTTTATGCTAAACTAAATATTTTGACTGGACATAATCTTGCACGTTATTTTCCATATGCATATTATGTAAATCAGGTGGCCAATACCAGTTTCGAATGTTCAACCTGTTGATTATTCGTAGAATAACAAAGCATATATTTTAGGTTATTTTTTTAATGACATTAGAGTCTAAAATTCCTTTATCATATAAAATTAAATACAATCTTTCCTGCATATAATATTCGTATTTTTACAATCTCCACATGATGGTAGTAGTAGCTGTAGAAATCTACAACATGGACTAAAAATGCATAGTCACTCTTTTACTGTTATTGTAAAAGTGACCTTATTTAGTTGAAACTTGGATAACTTTTCTTTTGTGTATTTTCTCAGTCTGAAAATAATTAATGGATTCATACAAGTAAACATTTATAGTAGTGTCTGGATGCTTGTTTAAAAATATATAAATGTATTATTGTTTTGTTCATTCTAATTTTGTCCCTTATTAGTAGCTTGTTACTTTGTTGTCAATTAATACTTAGTAACCTTTTGTTTTATAACTTAATTTTTTTTTCTTTTGCACTTTCTTTCGCCGTGACAATTTACTCAATTTCATACGGCGCACGCGCATCGGGTTTAAAAATCGATTTGAAACTTTTATCTTTTGTGCATTAAACATTCATTCAGTTTAAAATTCCTTAAATAGATTGCTGCATATTTAACAATCACAATAAATGACAAACTATGTGATTATCTGATAACATTATCACTGTACATAGAAGCTATATGCACTAATGCCTCAAGATATGAGAAATCAATGTACACATTATGTTTTGTTCTTTTTCTATACATTGAAATACAAAATATGCAGGAATTTTATTTGAATGCATCATGGTGATAATATTATGTTCTCTCAGGCACAATATAAATATTATAACTTTGTTATTGCACCCACCTTCTAGAAAAGGGCAGGTTTTTATGTTAGGTACTCTATGATTTATATTTTAACTGTAGTTTCTTGATATTTTTCGCACTATTATTTTATGTTCAAACTAGACTATCTTATCCAAAAAATAAACTTCAAAAGCTACTTTTTATTTTCATATTTTCAAAACAACAAAGACAAAGACATAATATTTTTTACTTATTTTTAATAAAATATCTCCTCATCATTTAATGATTAAAAGTTGTTTACTACTGGTTCCTAAACTTTTATAGATAAAAAATGTATAATTTTAATGTATATTTTGTGTTGTTCGTACAAAAAATGTTAAAGTAACATTTCGTTTATGATCAATTTCAGAGCACGAACAACGCGACAGCAGCGCCGCCCGCTATGGGAGCGCAAACGCAGTACCCGTATCCATATCAGCAAGGCATGGGATACTGGTATGCTCAGGTAAATGTCAGCAATTATTACTTTTTTATTAACTATACCATTTATTATCTATCTATAATTAGACCATTCGAAGTGTTTCTTTTGAAAATTACCATGGCAACAAATTAATGTCACAATGTACGATTTTGGACAATCTGCAAGGTTTCCTTGGTCTACCCTTGTACATTTCGTCACCTACTTCAACTATCCTGGTAATTTACAAAAGCAACTATTAGAGATTTAATGCAAACTTCTTAGGCCAACTTGTAATCAATTATCAAACACGGAGAAGAAAATGTTTCCTTTTTTATTGCGTATGCTAGGCAATGCATCAATTAATATTTTTAATGAAGCCGAAATATGGGGATGTGGCTTTATTGTTGATATTAATTTAATTGGCTACAGCCGTTACTGTTGACAACACGACGCACCATTTCACGTGCATTCAATATTTTTGACTCTGCATTAAAATTTTTGTACTTGGGGATACCCATTTTATAAAATAGCATATTTGATAAAATACTGTTATCAACAAGGAAACATTAACAGTTTAACTGAAGGATTAATGATTGTATGTGAACATTTTATCGTACATTAGGTCAAGGTTAGAAAGCTGTAAAATCCAAAGAGACGCCGGCGCAAGTCTCATGAAACAAACACTCATTATTGTTTGTATGTGTGTTTGTATAATATTGATCACACACAAACTTTCAACCTTGACCGACTTACAATTCTCTTGTCTAATCTAACGTTGTATTTTTTATTGTTTTTGCGCACAGAATCAGGTAGTACTTCAGATTAAAAAATCATAATTTTGTGTGGTAATTAGTTTTGTTTTGCACTTTTACCATTTTAATTGTTATATTACATTGCTTGGGTAGATTTTTAGAAGTAGTAGAACTTGGTTTTGTTCCTAAAATAGCTATGTATGTGTTGATAGAAATGAGAGCTGTATGAAATGAGGTTTCCTCCAATATGTTATGCTTTTTTAAAATTTATCTACGAGTGCATGAAAGAGATAGATATATGTAGTTCTAGTATAATTATGTATTGAATTGTATTTATCCCTTTTAGTGTGCTTTAGTACTTATAGATTTTTTATGTTTGCAACAATATTTTCTAAATTTGTAGTTAGTACCTAAATTAACATTGTTTAGCTAAATTTCACAGAATATATAAGGTAAATCTGTTTGAATATTCTATTTATACATATTGTATTTATCATTACACCCGTAGGTGCATATTTGACTTCAAAAATGTGGCTATTGTAAACTTGCTGATAATTTTTCTCTTATCTGCATTTTTATTGTAGTTACAAAAGTTAGTAGTTACGTAGCCGTGACGTCAGCGTAACACTCTCGCCTAAACTAACAAATATTTTGATAACAATCTCAGCTTCTCAATTAAATTTCAGAGGAGTAATAATATTTTCAGTACTATTTTAATAAAAAATTAAAGTGCTATATTAGTTTGAAATATAATCATAGATAATAATTTGTTTATACATGCTACAATTTCGGTAAGCATACAATTTACATGTTAATGTTTTTAAATTCATAGTTGGCTTGTTTTCTGCATTTGCTGGACTTAGGCATCTCCAACAGCATGCCACTGAGCTCAATCTTCAGTTCTTCGCATCGGAACACCTTATTAGAGAAAGGCTAACCATAATACAGTTTTAGCTGATCATTTGATGTAAAGCTACTTCGGGCAGTTATGAATGATTTCTCTTGCACATAATTATACTGAATTCCTTAGCATTGACATACTTGTTTCAGATGTTTATTACCAGTAATGCAATAAAAGTCGAATAGATACTTAGTAATTTATGACTATGCATTTATTGATTTTCGATATAGGCCTATTGCCTATACTGTTTTTCTAAAGGGCAATTAACATTTTGAATTTGAAATAACAATATTTTTAGTTTAACAGTTTTGAAGTTTTTCAAATTTAAAGTAGATAACACTAGAAAAAGGACGAACCATAATACTAAGTTGGTCTATAACCGGTAATTTAATTTTGAATGACTAAGATAAAATTCACAAGTTATTATTAGACTATATAATCTCGTCTTTTATAGACCAAACCAACCTAAGTCAATAGACCAAAATTTAAAACCGGACTGTAAAAAGTATTTTTTTTATTTGTAGGGTATTCGGAAAATTAACAAGACGAAATGTTACCTCAATAACAGTTTATCTAACTCCAAATGCAATTAAGTATTTTCCTGCAAAATAATTGTTATTTTTACCAACCCAAAAGATATATTTGTAAAAAAATGAATTTAAATTATTTCCTGATTAGTTTTTAAACTAATGAACTATCCTTACACATTCATAACTTTAAATTATGTTTATATTTCACTCAATTATTACACCAAGTATTGCTAATTGCTGTATGAATTTAGATAAAAATGGACGCTATACACAACATGCTGATTGCTACCTACTTTTTACTCGGAAAAATGTACGAATTTCCGCCTGAATGAAGTTTGCGGATAACTAGTTATAACAGAAACTCAAACTGCTGTATAATTTCATTGTAATCGATATGATATACAGTACGTTTCACGTCTTATAGATCATGTTAGTTACGCGTGAAATATGCTAATACGGTCCATTAAAAGTTACATTCATGAAGTGGGCCAACAATTGGAACTGTTGAATTTTAAGTACGTTTGGTTTTCTGAGAGTGTGCGGGGTTTACCCACTGTGCTTGATATTTCTCTTAAATACAATGAAATATAAAACGTAACATAGTACATTTTTGGTGTATTTTTGTATAGACATGGATTTATGTGAAATGTTTAGACGATATGTTTGATAGACAAGCATGATTGTTTGTTGTTTAAAGTTGTTCAAAAAGTGTTTTTGCAGTATAAGAAAATAATGTTCTCTGTGTGTGAGTGTTTTAGCAATTGAATAGCTTTAATGGTCTCAAGCGCAAACGAGATCTATAGATTCCATTTTCTATCTTCAAACTTTTTAGTTCAACTTCACCATTGTTATGCTACCTTAGATAAAAGAGCTTACTATCTTAACCACTTTGGAAACCAACCTAGAACTCATTTATTTTAATGTCAAAGAAACAATATTCATCATACGTCTGACTACGAAAGCTATCAGCAATTAACAAAACAACGAAACAAACAATAGAAAAAACCGTCTATTTATTTCCTAGTTTCAAATTTTAAAGCACGGATATATATTTTACTACACATTGCGTGTCGATGTAGCTGATAATGTTTTACGTTTGGGTTAACGAGCGTGCGTGTGATTACAGGGCTATCCGGCGTTACAAGGGTACATGGCGCCCGGGTACTACCAGCAGTACGCCACCGCCTACAGTAACCCGCAAGCTGCAGCGGCAGGTATGTTTCTATCATATTTACTTTTCAATTTGATTGTTTTGCCGGAATACTGAAACGCTACTCAATTTTAAGTCGTGCTTAAGTATAGTTCTATCTCTACAAATTCTTTGTAAAATGACAGAGATGGCACGATATTTGAGCACGACTTTAAATTGAGTAACGTTTCAGTATTCCGACATTTGTTGATTAATATTCTGCCTTGATTAGTGCTCTGGTCTTGTGTCTAATTCCTGAGTAGGGTACAATATTATTAAAATGATTTGGGTTTGAATAATGTCTTGTAATAAATGCAAGGAGTGTGGTAGTGTTCACCTCCTCCAGCTACATAGGACTGGTAAAATGTCTGGCCAAAAGTTGGTGTGGAAAACTTTAAACTATACACCTCTGCCTAATTTGTCTAGGAAAAAAATAGCTATGTATGTAGTGACAGGCGTTATTGTTATGTATTTTTTGTTTTCAATAAATCAATTGTCTAAAATAAAAAGTACCTAAATGAGGGGTAACAAAGGTTCAAAAGTACAAATTGATAGATATTGTTAAACATATGTTTGTGTTGCTATCAAATAACATTGTCTAAAACCTCGATCCTATTGTGTTATCGAGTGCCGAGTTAACTAACGACTTGCTGCGAACTTTTTATAGCTAAATGACTGGTTTGCAGTTTACTATTTCAATTTGTAACAACTACTTCCAATGTTAACAAACACTTGTAATGAAATATTTCAAGTTAACTTGCAATTTCTGTGACATTGGTATAATTTCCGTCAGAAATCATAAGAGTAGTAAGTATTATATTGACAAATGGTCACTTGGTTTTACAGTAATAATATGCCATTAGATACTGTAGGTAAATTAGATGCTATTATGGGTATAAGGAGGAAAATGGTCCGGAAATGAATTAGTTGTGTATCTTGATAGTTGTGTAAGCGAGGTTTGTGTTGTTGCAGCAGGGTACCGCATGAGCATGCCGGGCGGCGGCGGCGCGGGCGCGGGCGGCGGGTGGGGCGGGGGCCCGGCGCCGCTGATGTACGCGTCGCCCATGCCGTCGGCGCAGTATCCGTCGCAGTAGCCGCCCCCGACACCCGTGCAATGTCGCCACGTCCTGTGCCTCACGCGGTCCCCAGCGGATCCGACCTAATACAATACGAACTCTGCGTCAATTTTGTAAAACTGTCTCTGGACAGATAAGTTTCGGTTTAGATTTTATTTTTGTACAAGTCCGTGCGGTTTTCCGTGTAGAGACTCCATAAGTCACGTTGCGTGCTTGCAACTACATTTGTATAAAATTGTTCTTGTTACTGTATAAAGAGTGACGGCGATGTTGTTCACGTCGTAAATGTATATTTCAGAGCATGCACACTGTCAGTCGAGGGACCTAACACCGTCACTTAATGCGGGTAGTGTGCCGAACTATTTATGCAATCGAGTTATCGTACATATCTCGAGTTGTTGTTATTGGCAGAGCAGTCAAACAGTGTACAAATGTTGGAAAATAGCAATACCGTTCAGCTCATTTACAGGTGGTTAGCGACGGGAGTCTGCGGAGGGCTCTAGGCGGTATCTCATGTGCCAACGGCCGCGTCTCATAGAGCCGCGGCGGGTAGTCGCCAGCGCCGCCCGGCGTCCGCCGCCGACTCCCCTCGCTGCTATTGACCGACCGTACCCACAAAATTATCTTAGTGTTGTCTGGCGCCATCTAGTTTCAGTAGATATAACTAAATGACGCCATGTTTGCAACACCGAACAGTTTCGGATTCACGGCGCAACGGTGTTAGTCGACCTACATAGATAGGACATAACGAAATAAATTATAAATTTTTAATAAAAGTTATAAATATATAGGGGGGAGTAGTGTCGCGAGTGGCCTCGTGTACATACGTTGATATTTATTGGCGCCCTGCGCTGGCAGACTGAACTATGTTCCCCGAGACTCCTCACACGACGCGCCAGACAGTTTTGACCTATTTATATTAAGTTGGGCACATGTTGTTTTGTTTGACCTGAATTGTTATGATTTATTGTATGGAAACACTGGTGAGTCAATAAAGCTGTGGGTCTGGGACAACGGGTGTTTGATTTGCCGTCTAGATATAATATACAACAACTGTATTATGTTTCTGGGTCCAAATTTTTTTATATGAGTCGACTGCTAGGTCCATCTGTGATCGAATACAGCATACGTTCGGATGACGTGAATGATTAAAAATTATTGTAAATTCATAATGAAAAAGGTAAATTTTGTAAAAGGATAAATAAATAGTTTAAGTTTACAATTACTTTTGATTATTGTTGTATTATTAGTGGCGTCGATCTCTGTTACTATGTACCCTTTATGTGAAACATCAGAACTAAATTTTTTCTGTTCTCAAAATGAATATCATGAACATGAATGGTTAACTTGGAGACGAAATGATTTGTTATAACTGTTATCACAGAGTGTGATAGGCCCTGCACTATAAGAGTTTTACGCATTTGGTCTTTAATTTTAGAAATTGTTGCCTTAATTTGTCGTACGCCTCTGTAGTGTATGGCCTATCGAGCATATTATAAAAAATATTGCATCAAGTGTGCAGAAAATATACAAATTTCATTACAAAACATGAGTTTAAAACATTCTCTCCTTTAGATAATCTTACTAACCAAATTATAGGGATTCAGATAAGACCATTTGCACCACAAACAGAAATAATAATTACTAAAAAGATCTATATTAAATTAAATGCCTAGAAAAGTAAAAACTTTTTAGACATGATTTCTATAACACGACATGAAGCAAATTTTTTTTTTTTTTTTTTTATTTTATTGTCCTGCAATCTGTCTCTAACGAACATTCAGCACATGGTCAAGAGTTTAATTTAATTTGTCTTGTAGGGTCACCAGTCCAGCGACGTGGGCCCTTTAGAATTCATCCCTTACAGGTCTCTAGGGGCCTTTCGTTTTAGCCTTTTGAATGTGGAGTTCATATTCATTAAGTGCATTGCTAGAGTGTTTGGGTGGTTGTTGAGCCTTTTTCTGTAGGATATCATAGACTGTTTTATCTCTTCTTGAACCGTTCTGATTTTAAGGTCATGGTGTAATTGTTGGTTAGTTATAAACCAAGGAGCATTAGTAATTATCCTCAGCATTTTGGACTGGAACCTCTGGAGTATTTCTATATATGAAGCAAATAGGTATGAAATCTCAGTCTTCCTTGAGATATATGCAAATGACAATGCTTTTACTCTACTCAAAAATAAAATAATGTTCAAAATAATTATGCATGATGATAGTGCAACTAGAAATTAGACATCCCTGAAATGCAATTACTTGACAAATTTATTTGAATATTGCAATAGACGCCAGCATAAATCGTCAGAAGTCAAAATTTTGTAGAATAACCCTCTCTTTCCTCGCATACAAGAATGTCTCTTGTAAATTGCAAGCCTTGAACTCCAGGTACAAGTTAAAACAAATTATTACTGAAATGATGAACAAAAAATACCTACCTTTTTTAAAGATATTTCCAGTTTGTCTCAACACACATCGCATCAACAGCCTATATAAGTGGCAACTGCTGACCAAAGGACTTTTCGCACGAATGTTTGAGCCTAATGGTAATCACCACGCTTGCTCAATGCGGGTTGGCGATTTCAAACTTATAATTAGAAATTGAACAGAAGACTGCCTCGGCTAAGTGGTGGCAATTGGGCAAGAGGGTTCGGGTTCGATTCCCGGTCGGGAAAAGAACTGGCTTTTAAAAAAATCTCAGTCTTAGCACTGAGTCTGGAAATGTGCCCTGTGTATGGCAATAGGCTCACCCCCTATTACATGGGACTCTTAACATAAATAGTGAAAAGTAGGTGTTACATTGTACAGTGGCATTAAGTGCCGTAATGTGCACCTCTGCCTACCCCTCCGAGGGTAAACGGCGTGATGTTATATGTATGTAATTAGAAATTATAAGCCCAATTTCTCACGATATATTTTTCTTTACCATTTGTCAGTGGTGTCTAAATCTGAGGACGTACATACACTGACACACTGTTGTAGAACCCGCACTCATACAATAAGCGGGCCACAACGATACTCTGTTTCAACATAGGTACGCAAAAGAAAATGACATTTTCAAGTCAGCATGTAGATGCGTGACTATCTATGAGACCTCTGAAAAAGGTAGGTAGTAAGTATGTTTAATGTATTTGCTCCTTTTCGAAATAATTAACCGAAAAGTTACCATTACAACTATCAATAGAACAAAGTCCTTCAATAAGTTAAAAAATCTAGCAATATCACCATAGCTTCCTTATCACCTAATGGTGAACTAATCGTAGGTAGGTACAACACGACATAACAAGTCCTTTACCGACTGCATTGGTTATGTTTTGTGGCAATTAGAATTAGACTCTTAAGCTCAAAAGGTTTTGGAATAGGAGGTACTCACTCGGTTTTAGAAAAGTCATTATAGGGTAAATAAATACCGCTATCTGAGGATTATTTATTAATGTGTAATCGAATCGAGCGAGATACAGAAACGTCGCTATGAAAACAACTGGCCTATGCCATCCTAGTATGGAAGATATGGTAGTAGATAGGTATCAGTGGCACTTTGTCTCTGAAGCAAAGGCGTGAGTTTACGTGCAAAAATTCAATACATAACTGTAATGTGGCGAGTAGTCGCAATCGCAATCATAGCTTAATTATCATTAAGTAGATGCCTGTGTGTTTATTTATTTATTTTATTTCGACCATGGTCGTCCTACTGCAGGGCAAAGGCCTTCCTACCATCCTTCAACTCATATCTTACAGCTTTCTGTGGCCAATTCTTTTCATAGGCGTCAAGTTCATGTAGCCCGCCTGTGTTTGAATCGTTTTATTGTCTCATCTAAAGTACGTACTTTACCTAGCACCCCTGTGTTAGTTGAGTTTGTGCACTGACTCTCACTCACAAAGGTACTTTGTGTGTTAAAACTTTCAACAATGAATACATTAACATATCATCGTTCTTCGGCAGACTCATTACAAAAGCACCCATTTACCTACCTATAAATAAAACTGGTATAAGTAGATAGGTTGCCTTATTATTGCCTATATAGGTACTATGATTTAAAACAACCCACGGGAGAAAATGAATTCTTACTGATATTATAAATATTTGCGTATTTGTTTTTTTCTCAATAACGTCAAAGCAGCCGAAGGGATCGGAATTTATTATATCTGTGGATCGGAATGATAATCGCGATAATCATTACACATAGTAGTCAAAACTGTACATTGAATATTTTTTAAAAAGAATACTTGGTCCGTGACCTACCATCAATACCGAAACCAAAAGTATGGGTTTTAAATTTTTTGTCTGTTTGTCTGTATGATCTCAAAAAGTACTGCATGGATTTACTTCAAATTTTGCAATTTTATTAACAAGTTGGGTCAACATATAAGTACAGTAGTAGGCTACATATTATCACGCTATCATCTACGGGGAAGGAGCCCTCCTATACTAGTGTAGGAGTAGTAGGATATTCAGTAGCTAGGTACTTACTGAATAAATTCTGACGATATTCGTTACCGTAGAATATCCCTTGATAAACTTAATACTAATTTTATTCTAAAGCCTAAATTCTGCCAGAAGTCATTTTTCTACGCGGACGAAGTCACGAGCAACAGTTAATGATCAATACATATAGCTATACACACTACAGGCCGAAGCCGCGGATAGAAGTTAGTCAAATATAAATTCCCTTTGTGTCCTCGTCCTACACCAGTTACGACCTACAGAGGAATCTGAAAATATTTTACACATATAGAAATATCTAAAATATCTGATGATTCAAATGGACTATTCTGGCTTCAGGGTAGCGTCACTTCATAAATTATTTTTCTGTTGCATTCTTGGTCGACGTTCTGATTATCCTTAACCCACTTCAATGTGACATCAAGCAAAACAACAAGTATTTTATAATTTCTGTGTGAAATCCGTGGGGTTCGGGAATGACGCGAAAATTGCAATGACAGTGATCTAAAAATAACGTCGACAGCGTCGCGCCTCTGCGTGCGCGCTCTCTTCAGTCGAGGACCAACCGTCGCGAGTTACAGTCGAACGATCATAAATCAGCAGCCATGGTGTACGAGAGTGACTTCTATACGACCCGCCGCCCTTACAGGCCCAGCAGCTACAGCACCGTGTCGGTGAGTGCCGCCGCCCTTCTAACACCTTCTACTGAGCGTGCCTCGCACCTCGCTCCACTCTCTCCCGGGAGCCGGACGCCCCTCGCACCAGCTCGACCTTCGCCACTCGCGTCCCTCAACAAATGGCCCTAGACGCCACTCCTGCCTCATTGATGTACATAGTGTTCGTGTTCAGTGACAGCAAGCCACGACGATAACAACGTGATACTATGATCTCTCGGGTTCCTTGTTGTCTTCCCAAGTGTTAACTTGTTCCCGTTTTGGTTTTAGTTCGCTTGTAAACATCATTGCTAATGATAAGCTAGATCCACGTCGTTGAGTCTATTAGTATAAGGACTTAGGTTTTGATAGAAATTGATCGTGGTAGCGTTCCGCAAGTGGGTCATTTCGAAACGAGAATCGGAGTCGGAAAGCGGAGCTACCGGGCGCGCCAAATATAGCCGCGGCTGGAGTCGCGCTCGCCCGACTAACGGCGACTTCTCCGCTTGCAGCGGCAGCCGCTCGGCGACTGGGAGAAGGTGCCGTTCGTGCCGCGGCCGAGTCTCGTGCCTGATCCAGTCACGGCGTTCGGCCGGCGATCGCGTCCCGGCGAGCGCCACTCCGTGCTCGAGCCAGTGACTCGGCAGAACATCGCGCCCAAGCCGGAGTCAAAGCTGAGACCGCTCGCGCCCTACGTGTCGCCGCGCGACCAGACTCGAGCGCGTGTGCTGGCGGCCGTGGGCCACCGCGAGCGCTGCCTGGAGGCCGAGCCGCTGGGCACACCGCGCGACCACATGGACGTCCTTCTGGCGCAGTCTCACGGCCGGCCCGAGCGTGCAGCACACCGCCATGTCTTTTACAGCAACTACGCGTCGTACTGACGGGCGTAGTGTCTTTGTCGTGTGTCGCTTTCGCTATAGTAAGCTAGTCGGTCGGGTCGGTGCGAGGGTGGGCGGCGAGGTGTGATCGGCGGTGGCTATAGGGCGGGGTTGTTGCAGACGCCGCGTCACTACGTGGTGGTGGACCGCGACCCTGTGCTGCCGCGCCGCGCCGAGGAGCAGTACTCGTACTCGTACAAGAGCACGAGCGAGCGCTCGACCGGCAGCGGCCTGCCGCAGCGCAGCTCGTACAGCAACACGGTGGAGCGGCGCACGGGCAGCGGGCCCGGCGGCTACTCGTACAGCAGCGAGCGCACCAGCAACTTGGGCGGCCCCGGCGGCTACTCGTACTCGTCCACGTCGAGCGGCCGCCTGCCCTACGGCACCACCTACCGCCACTACTCGTACCGCGTGTAGCGCCCCGGCTCCCGCCCCGGCCCACCTCGATATTCCTCGCTCCCTAACTCCCTGACACCCAGCTTCCCCAACATGTAACTACCTAATCAGTATTCGCAGTAACGTAAATGTGATCACTCTACTTTATTTGTTCACAAGTGGAAGTTGATCGTACTAGAGCTTTTTAAATGTAATTATAAATTATTTATTTAAAATGTGATTTAGACGACTGAATTTTTAATAAAGCTTGCGTTTTCTAATAATTATGTTTCTATTTTCTTTGTGTCGTGTTCACACAACAACCTACAAAGCGGGTCGATGATGAGCTCGATCCTTGTTTACTAACAGATTATTTCCGTGTTATCCACTCTATGTTGGTTTGTTCTATATTTCCTATTTTATTAACTTGGAATTATTTAACAGTTTTATGTTTACCTAGGGAATGTAAGCTGTTGAGTTAAAATCAGAAATTACACTAGCGTCTAATCAAAATAAACAAAGTATGAAAATAGCCAGAGTTACTTGTTACCTACGCAGTAACATGACATCATAGCATCCGTCTGTGTCCAAAAACAACACTTTTTTCTCAAACAACAATCTGGTAGGTAATATGAGAACACATCATCTAAGAGGATGTAAAACAATTACTTACTTTAAAAAATTGATACTAGGGATACCTAGGTAGATAGAAACACTTTCGTTGCTGGTGCATCATAGTTATTGAATGATTTAGGTATCAAATTAAGTATTATAGGTAGGTAAATAATTATTCAAGAAAAAAAAACACTTATTGAGCATTTCTTTCCTAATAGTTTTTATCAGACATCCACGATACAACTCTTTCTGTAGCATTCCGAAAGACACACTAGAAATTGTTAGTAACCTAATTGAAACTGTTAGTTAGATAATACGAAAGTTCCTATACCTATAAGAATAAGTTTAACTGGTGAATATTTTCTGACAGCCGTTGACGTCAGTATACTACCTGTCGTCATACCTACCCTACTATCACGAACCGTACGTAACGTACATACCCAAGCTCTCACAGGTAAGTCTGAGATATTTGTAGATACACTGTAAGTAGCTCATCATTGGCTGCCGGGTACACGCCGCTATCCATGTACAGACGCCAGCACATCAAGTTACCCTAAACTGTCCTTTATTACATTATCAACCTCATTGGAAAATGCTAAGGTTGAAAATCTACTAAAGAACGATATTTTCGGGTAGCTTGACATTCGCACTGACTTCAGCACAGCTAAGTAAGTAACATTGCTTCCAGCACACATGAAGATGTACCCTAAAGTATTTAGATGTTGCACTCATTCGAAGGTCAAGTAATAAATAGCACGTATAACTCATAAGCCAGTAGATGTAAATATTTGATTTCCATGTTTATTTTCACTTGTATGTACATAGCACAAAATGTATGAGAATAATTTTGGCTAGAGTTAGGGAAGATAGCCGTGATATGATATTTTCTTATTCACTTTAAAAACAACTTGATAGTTTTAACTTTTAACCGAACTTAAAAACGTAAGTAAGTATACATTAAGAACACAGATTATAAAGGGCCAAGAATGTTACCTTGCGGACTCCATAAGTAGCAGTGTCCTTTTGATTGTTTTATATTTCACTATCACATAATTTCAATTGCCTGTTTCTAGTAAAAAAGTGGGTATTTAACAATACATACAACATAGTTTTGTTACACATTGCAAAAGATTTTGTAAGGACCTAATCAAACGCCTGGGACAAATCACAAAATCAAAAGAACATAAATCGCACATACCAAAGTAACATGAGAAGGTTTTTTATTAACATAAACCGCAGAACCCATGACTAAGCCATGAGAAAGAAGTAAATTAAAATGTTCACAATCAATCAAATTCTGTTTTAGTTCACCTCGACCTAATAACGCAGTCTAATATCAACACGTCATTAAATTAAACGCTCTTGCATTGTTTATTTCCAAACATCTTGTGCCAGGGAAAGATGAAGGGCTACTTCTAAATAAAAACGTAAGGTTCATTACGAAATACAAATTCTCTTCAAAATCTCAGAAACAGGTTAATGATATTAACGTGTGGATGTGGAGATTCTTTTATTTCATGATGGCAAAATGAAAAGCTTTAACGCTAAAACAATGAATTACCATCTGGTTTCTGTAGTTTAGTACCTACACAATTAAATCTATTTGCAAAATTACCTACTTCAAACGATTATGTGAACTCATAAACCTACAGACAATAGAACAGTGGAAATCTACAAAATAGTAGAACAATACAGACAACATGCTGACTAATACAGACAATAGGAATATCGCCAGAAATAAACCAGATAGAGACATTTTAGCAGAGTACCTATCCGACAATCCTAAATCTATTACAGTCTCATTCCAAGTCAATCTTCATAAATGGTTACAGCCATTTTGGCAGTCAGTCACATTATTCATAACTATTCCAAAAGCACCATGTCGAACTTTGAAACAAGCCAAAATATTGATTCAGAGTTTTCCGACATCTTGAATGCTTTCGTAACTCTAGCAAGAGAGACGGATATAACGATATTCATAATTCAAATTAGTGTTCAACTGGATTACTAGACTAGATGATAGTTTCATATCTCAAAATTCGCAAGTACACCATTTTGGCTATCTCAAGAGGTTCAACAAACTTTATTATTGGCCTTGAATTATTTATGGCGTGTTAATCATAGAAACTGAGTGCCACATGATCACTTATCTAGGTAGACTGTAGATCCTGGCTTACAAGAGGAGCAGCTGTTTTGAGAGGTTGAGGCGGGTTCGTCCCATATTTTAAAAATCAACTGTAGGTGCTCAGTTTTTGTTCAACTTTACCCAGAATAAGACGATTTTACCAAAACATATTTTCAGTTGTTTGGTTAATTAATTTCGAGGTGTTGCGTGTAGGTAGACTGCCAAGAGTCGGATAAATATTTTAGGAATCCAACATTACGCTGAATTGAGACCTATAGTCATTGAAATAAAATAAATTTTCTTTTATTTTAATACATAAATCAACACTTTAAAGAATAAACACCTGTTGATTTCTAAAACTAAAAGACAACTCGGAATTTTTATTTCGACATTGTTTATTTTTGTCGTTTGAATTTTCTTTGGCATTACTTAGTTTGTTTGTCACTATTAATTTTATAGATGTAAAGTAGGCACAGACAAGAGGAGTATTGCTAAAGATTGGTATTAGATAGCATCTCATAGGGATCCTCATGGAAAATTCCTACAGATAACAAATATGAACGGTAAGATATGTGGATAGGTAGGTGATTCAGTGACTGTGTTGCCAAAGCCAGATAAAAATGACTGCACGGTTGGTACGGTGGCTGGGCAACCGGCTGCCGTGCAACGTATCGCGGGTTCGATTCCCGCACGGAACAACACTTTGTGTGATCCACAAATTGTTGTTTCGGGTCTGGGTGTCATGTGTATGTGAAATTGTATGTTTGTAAACGCACCCACGACACAGGAGAAAATCGTAGTGTGGGGCAACGTTTAAAAAAAAATGGCTTCATAAATATGGCGACAGTCAATTATGAAATTGCAAATGTACTAGGATAGGGCGACCAATGAGCAGATGTATCATCTGATCTGATGATAGGTAATCAACTGCGGCATCGTTAACGTTCAGGGGCTTCCAAATTAGTTACAAGTGTGTTGCCGGCTTTTTGGGGATTAGAATTTTTGATAACCATGCTCACACGGTGAGTATCCAAACCACAAGACGTGGCCATTTAGACAATCGAATCATAAAACACTACTGTTGTCTGCTATTGTTCCTACTACTAAAGCTACCAGGCAATCATACTTCAGAAATATGTTCAAACTCCTACCAATTCTTTAAAATAATTTATTGCAGTGCCTCTACTATACACAATACGTTAAACTAATTACAGTTTACAGCATTACACGCAACACACGTTCGTGGCAGACTGCCAATATAAAACTTAGTGTAATCAAAGGGGGAGCTAAAAACATTCCTCGTCGTAATAAAATATATGAATGTTCGCAAACAACTCATTTACAATTATACAAGGTTGGTAGTTATCCGTGACTCCTACTAAATACGCAGTATTCTACTAAGTACGCATTTGTAAGTTTCTAGGGCTGCCTTTTTTGAGGGGGGGAAATCATCCAATGAACCTGCACCTTGGGTGAGGCAAGAGTGAGTGGCAGAGTCTTACTGACTAAACATCAATCACCCTGTTCCTACTCTTACCTTGAGTCGGACCTCAGTACCTTTATGGGTTGCCTAGTTAGTGCCGCTATTCCTAGAAAGGTGTTAGATAAGCTAAGGGATTACTTATTTAACAGAGACCAGGCTGTAGCGATAGCCTCGGAGAGCCTAACGGGTGGCAACCAGTAGGAACGGCGTGGTTTTTTAGTCAGTAAACTCCCTCTCGCCTAACTCAAAGCGGGAGAAGCCATTGGATGATTTTACCAACTCAAAATAAAGGCAGTAGCGATCTCTGGTAGGTACCTATACTTTAAAGTTTTAACTTGCGATCTGCAAGTCAACTGTAAAGCGTAGGGATTAAAAGCCCCCTTTATGTAAAGGAGGCCTATAGTCCAGAGTCCAGCAGAGGCCTGTCACCAGCTATTGTAATTGTTACCCACCTACTACTCTATTTAAATTGTTACCGTTGTTAGAACAATTATCAAGCATACCTACAAACAGGTATGGATATGTATCAAATAGTGTTTATTATGAATTTAGCACCTAATTAAGGTTGGAATTGTTTTGAGAATAATGTATTCCAAATACCAATACAGTAATTCTATAATAACAATTTAATGTCATATAACTAGCACATATCGATGTAAATTGGCATGAAAACAACGTTTCGACGAAGACGTATGTGAACGATGGGAAATGTAATAAGGACAAGTAGAATCTCTATAGGTAGGTATAGCGAGGATTAAGCTCTTAAGCAACTCTTAAGGAAGCTTGAAGACAAAAAACATGTAGGAAGTATATGTAGGTAGGCGTAAATGGTTTCAACACTAAAAATTGGGAAAAGCGTCAAGTTTGCTCATTCTACAGAAATTTACTAGACTTGTGAGTCGACTTGTAAAAATAGACCTTGTATTTTTTTCTTGAATCTTCAGAATCGCTAAAACAATAGTTGTCATCACATCACATCACTCAGTTTCATCACCTTCAAACAAATAACTAAGAAAAAATAACAAAAGAAATCTTCAAAGGCCCATCAACAAAAATAGTACAAATAGATATATTTATCCAGCCGCCCTCCCCTCTCAATATAAATAATAGGTATTTACAAGACCATTAATTAGAAGAAAACCTTGAATACTATATTATAATTTAATATGTTTACCCAAAACTGGCCGGATGTATCACTCTCTAGACAAAGTGTGGAAACAAAAGCTGGAGTCGGATCAAGAGTAACATTTTTGGCAACTGAACACAAGCCAAGAATACCGTTAACGCCCATGTTATTACGAGAAATCCATAGAATATTCTAGACTTTAACATAGCCAACATCGTCACCTTAAACTAAGAACACGATGAGATAGCCCAAACCAATAAATACGCAATAAATTATTTAAAGATCTTATGATTAGCAAAGACGAATATTGTAATCTGATACTGACTGACTGTCTGACTTCCATGACTGACGTCTTCCTGTTGATTGAAATTTGGCAATCAAACAACTCAGACTAAGAAAGAGTACCTACCAACACAAATTACTTTAGGTTCTCAGAAAAATGTCTACAAAGTAGATAGAACGGAAAAAAACTGCTAGAGAAATATTTTTCTGTCTGCCCCAATGTTTAAAGCAAGGTTATGAACTTCTAATAGGAAAGATCATGTTTCTATCATATAAATAGCTTGTAGCAAAAGTCGCTATGGTAATAAAAGTTGCAATCACTCTCGCCATCTCCGCTGCGGCATGTGCGCAGCGAAATAATCTAATTTTACAACACTAGCCGATGATTCACACCGCCATTGAGACGAACAGTAAGGTTCACTACCGAAATAGCCCTATGATTTAGCGTATTATAAACAAACACTATGAATTTGAGTAGAATTCCATGCTTTTGCGTAGAAATTCCATGTCAGGGAAATGCGTCAATGTTGCAATTTTGCGACCTGCACTCATACATTTGCACCCACATTACAACGATTCACGAGCAAAGCTTGCATAAACAGAGTATTATTAGAAGTTATTTACGTTGTGGGATTTTTTGCATGCTTTATCCTCCCAAAATTATGTGCATGCGACCAGACAGAATCTTTTTAAAATACAATATCATGATGTTATTACATTTCATGACATGCTTTCTAAGAATACAAAGTGAAATAACTGCATACCACAGAATATGAAGAACAATTGGTAAATTAATGACTATCGTGCATGGTATACCTAATACTAGCTGAAGTTTCTCAGTGAGCTCACGATTGCGTAGTATTTATCAATATTCTATCGGCTTTCGTGTAGCTGTAAACCATCAGAGTGAGCAAATGGACTGCCTGATCTTTAGATTTTTCGTCTCAAAAACAGAACTTACCTACCAGCCTATTTTGTCCAAAATTACTGTAATTTTTGGCACAGTATACCAACCCAATGTTTTACCCCTTGTTTACGAAAACATGGCAGCATAAACAGACCATATGCTCGCTCGTAAATACAGAATTCATTGCTGTAGCTGTTTTATCATGAAGTATTGTGTTGGATGTTAAATGACCTGGCCTCTTACAACGGTTGCAGGCTGAGCTGATATACAGGCCGACTTCTCGCACTGTCACTCGACTCGTCACGTACCCGGAGGCACCCCACCATGTAGTGCGTGTGCGCGTGCGTCCCTCAGTAGTCCTGCGCGAACTGGACCGCATTGCGTACCGCCGCCGCCCCGAATTATCTATCTCAGCTGTCGACGACTTCTTCCGATCTGAATCCACCAAGGTACGTTTGGAGCTTCACTTTGAAGTCAGTATTCGAGTTTGAAACATTTTGGTCATGTCCAAAATGTTCCAAACTGGTCACTAAGAATTCAACACATCATATTGACTGCATGTTGTAGGTATATAAACCAAAAGAAACAAATCAGGAAGTTTCTTAAAATTCCAACTAAAAATATTATGATGTAATGTTTCCAGGCCTTCGAAGATGAGACCAGCCGCATCCGTGCCGACACTGCTGCACTTCTTACCCGCGCACGTTCAGTTGTGCCCCGCGCTAAAACCGTAGCTCCCCTCGACACGATTTACTCGTGAGTAGACTTCTTCCAAGTGGTAGAGGCAAAAGTTCACTAGACCTAGTTTCACTAATTTATTGTAACTCAAAGATATATAAATATTCGATATCCTTGGACTCAAGAACTTCCAGAAGACCTTACGCATAGCCCCAGCTCCAAGGCTAGGTCAAGTTTTTCTTAGCTTGATGTAACAGTACTAAAATAGCCCGCCCATTGATGCATCTATCAAAAGACCGCCCTGGCAGTGACATTGACGACTCAAGTCGGTACCTGTCGCATGTCATTTGGCAATCATGTACTCGAATTCACGATGCAATCATGAAAAATCTGTCTGGCTGCCAAAATCCCATGAACTTCAGAGGATCGGAAACAAAAAAAAACGTGACCTTCACCAGGAAGGATGTCCGAACCGTGGGTGTACATTTCATTGCCTATTTCTTGCGTCAACGCATGTTTTGCCTGTGACGTATGTAGCCATCATGTACCTACTGCCGTTTTATTTATAACTCGGTTAAATGTCAGCGTTTGTTGTCTCGTGTCCACTAATAAAACAGCTAACGATTTATTTTCATTTAGATCTTGGCGTGTTTATCGTGACGCGGAAAGTTTACAACATCCGTTATAAACTGCGGTCATTTATCATACATATGACTTCGTCAACAGATATTCGTACGGGGAACCGATCCCGTATCGTTTCAGCAATGAGGCTTACCTCGCTAAGCTCGTGGTCCCCCTGCGCAGCGTGGCTGATCACATCCGCAACATCTCCTACTACAGCGAACCCGCCAAGAAGTTCACCGGTGAGAATTGTAACAAACTCCTACATCGCACAGTGTTCAACACTCGATGTTTTCCAACTAAAATAATTAAAAAGACCAATCTCTATTTGTCTTAAACTGTGTCGTCCGTTATCCTTCAGTTTGATTACCGACTAACAGTTAAGTTCCAGTGTGCCCCTGTGGTAACCGTGAGGTGTTCTCGCCAGGACGCGGTCACCTCGCATGCGTGCACTACACCGGTAACAAGGCCTTCTCCAACCGTAGGCCACTCTACAAGGAGCTTAGCATCAGGGACGACGTGAACCTCCTTTCTTTCTATGCCAAGAACAGGCTCGCGGCCGCCGGTCTGGCCGTCGAGAGTGCCACAGGTACCTCGCCACCGTCGCAACGCTAGCGCTCGCTTAAATCCCTCGCTTAATTCTTTAAAATGAGTCTTTAAACCGGTCTAAAAGTGAAAAGCTAAGCCTCGAGAGGCTCGGGGCACTAAACGATTATTAAAACGAGGAATAAAGTCCGTGTCTAACCCTGCGTGTCTCTTGCAGCGGGCGGCGCGCCGGAACAGCCGACGGCGGCGCAGTGCGCGTAGCTCCCTGCGGCGCGGCGCGGGCGCCGGGGCTGCGCTGTCTCGTGCAGCAGCCCCGCGCTCGCGCCGCGTACGCCCTTCGCGCTCTCTGATCTCGGTATAACACGCTAGAACTAACCAAGATCATCTATTTTTTTATTTCATATTTTACAGATTACATATTTTTGTTACTGATGTTTACGAGTTGCGACGAACGATTTGATTTATTTTGCTAGTCATCGTTGTGATAGCGCGGTGTTGTGCGCCGAAATTTTGTCGGTGACCGAGATGTCTCGTTTTCACTTAACTCGACTGATTTTACTTAACAATAAAGAATTTTTACTGAAAATGTAGTTGTTTTAATCATGTGCATGTTCATTGTTCCTTATATCACGCTTGACTCCAAGCTTTAGTAATGCTAAGCTTTCTGACTAAAATGTTTTAACTGTTCGTATAACACACGTAAATAAATATAGTAAAAGAATAATATTAAATAATGATATCCCCATAAGATATACAATTAAAGTTAAACACACGTACATTTACACCTTACATACCTTCCCATCATTATGGAACATCATAGTCTCATGGGAATTATACTGAATTTTATAAAGTTTGAGAACAAAATGTGTTCGACATAATGAGACCTTACACTGGACAACTGCACTATCATTGCATTACAGCATGAAGCAGCGCTGAAACAGAATACGATGTCATAGCGACTACCATGCCATACAGGGTTTGTCATTGGGCTTGGTGCTGGGGTCTAACAGCTTCGATTAGACAGCATCATGATCATGAGCGTTGTACTGCGTCGCTTACTGTTCGTCATCGTACTCGTAACAATGTCCATTGACAGTCATCATCATGCTGTGGAATGATTAGCAGTTGTCTCTCTGAGCGCTAATTGTTTCACCAATGGTCGTTGTCTTACGGGATGCGCGTAACATTGGCCTCGGTGCAGTCAAGCTGCTCCCGTGGAGGCCGAGCCGCAAGTTCCAGGTCCCACAAATGATGGAGGATCCAGCTCTAGAACTGAAGGCAGCTAAAGCCGAACGTGAAGCTCGTTTCCGTGCGTCCACCGTTGAGCCAGTCATGACTCCAGCTACTGACTTGGCAGAAATTAAGAGGAAGAGGCAAGAGGAAGCTCGCGCCGCTGAAGAGAAGTATGTTCTTTCTTTCAGATTTGTCGCACGTAGGCAACCAAGTTATATTCAAGACAATTTAATTAATAACTTTGCATTTTTTATAGGGCATTGAAGGAAGAAGCTAAACGTGAGGCTGAACGTAAAGCTCAAGTAAGTAGAATTTCTTAGAATGATCAATTTTAATAATTACTTTATCTGGATAAAAAATGTCAATAGAATATTTCACTTATTTCAGGCTGAACGCGAAGCAGCAGAAAAGAGGAAGGCAGAAGAAGAAGCCCGTAAGGCCGAAGAAGCAAAACGCAAGGCCGAAGAAGATGCTAGAAAAGCCGAGGAAGAAGCCCGTCTGGCTGAGGAAGCTCGCCTAGCCGAAGAAGCTCGTTTAGCTGAAGAGGCCAGGCTCGCTGAGGAAGCCCGCAAGGCAGAAGAGGCTAGATTAGCCGAAGAAGCGAAGAAAGCAGAAGAAGCCCGTCTTGCAGAAGAAGCACGCCTAGCTGAAGAAGCGAGACTCGCAGAAGAAGCTCGCTTGGCTGAAGAAGCGAGGTTAGCTGAAGAGGCCAGGCTCGAGGAGGAAAGGCAGGCGGAACAGAGAAGACAGGAAGAACTCGCTCGGTTAGAGGAATTGGAGAAACAGGCACAGGAAGAACGCGAAGCCGAACTTGCACGACAGGTAAAAAGGAAAAGTTAAGTCAAGATTTCTTGAACAAAAGTTATTCGATGATAAATTCTAACACCTTGGATATTTGTCAATGCAGGCAGCTGAATTAGCCGAGATTGCGAGACAAGAGTCTGAACTTGCGGCCGCCCGCCTGGAGGAGCTCTCACAGAGTGGTTCTACTGCTGATGTCCCTGAGGCTGACGCCAGGTGAGAATTACAAAACCAATTTAATCTAGCACACAATAAACATAGATCGTAAACATGATATCTAAATAACTTTAACAAGACCTAGTTGATTGATTCCTGGGGAATATAATAGTCTGTAGTAATACTAGTCATTCAGCGTTTGTGACGATAAATATTTCACTAATATTTTTGTTATTTTCTGCTTTTACTCATCACAGAATACTTGGTTTAAGATTTGATCCAACTACAAACTCTTACTTTCTATGAAGATGAGATAAAAATAATATTTTTTTTATTATTTTTCCAGTGAACCTACCGCAGACGAACCTGAACCTATTGTAGAAGAGCCAGAATCTCCTGAAATCATCCCTGAAACACCCGCCGAGCCCGAAGCAGAGCAGGCCGGAGACGTCAGCGAGGATGAGAAAGCAGAACCTGACCTAACTGATGAAGAATAAACAGCAATAGGAACTAAAGAAATATTTTTATAGTTAAGAATTTTCTGTTATATCTGTATTGTAATGCTAAACATGATTCATGTGCATTTTGTTATAGATTAGACATGAATGATGTGCTAGCCCGAAGGTGGTTAAGTTCTCCAAAGTCCTTTCTTCTGCGTAATCAAATTACGCAACAATGAAAGTCATCCTTCCTTCTGTATATGTATGTTTAGGAAATCTACCACCGTTAACCAATGTGAATTTTTTTAAACTAAAACTTAAATGTTACTAGTTTAAGTGTTTTAATAATGTTATATTTTGTTAAATTTTAACAATAAAAAGACATGTTAACATGATGCTTTCACTAAATCCTGAGCCTAATTCCCTTCCAGCAGTTTCTTGCTTAGATCTGCATTCCAGCTGAGAGCTAATATATAAAAAAGCTAAAAGCTATATACTACTCATAGAGTTCAGAAATTAGAATGTATCATTGGCCATGTGGTCGCTAGTACGGCTGCTGTGCAAGAGGTCTCGGGTTTGATTCCCAGGTTGGGCAGTTTTTAAAACAAATCTCAGTAGTAGCACAGAATCTGTATATGTGCCTGGTACATGGCAATAGGCTCACCCCCTACATGGGACTTCATGGGACTCATAACATAAATAGTGAAAAGCCGGTGTTACATTGTACAATGGCATTGAGTGTCGTAATATGAACCCCTACCCCTTCGGGAATAAAAGGCGTGATGATGTTTATGTCAATGGAGTTCAGAAATCCTTACTAATATTATAAATCAGAAAGTGAGTTTGTTTGTTTGTACCACTTTCACGCCGTAACTACTAAACCGATTGCTTTGAAATTTTGCAGCCATAAAGTTAGAAGTCCGGATTAAATAATAGAGTACTTTGTATCCCGGAAAATTTCATGTTCCCAAGGGAAAACAAAAGAATTGGTATAGATGGCGCTGTGTATTAGTATATGTCACATAGGCTACTTTTTATCCTTGTGTCGCGAGCGAAGCTGCGGGTAAAAGCTAGTAGTAACTAAAGCCCGAATACTGAAAGGCTACTCAATTTTAACCTGTACTTAAATATCATGCCATCTCTGGCATTTTACAAAGAAGTTGTAGAGACAGATCTATACTTAGCGCGTTACGGAAAAACTAACAGGTTACCGGGCTCCGGCTCGACGTGCAGGAGAAGGAACGGAGTGGTTTTCAGTCAGTAAGAGTCTGACACTCCGTCCCGCCTCGCCCAGGCGGGAGCAGTCATTCGATGATTTTCCCCCCTTAAAATCCTTAAGCGTGATTCGGAATTGAGTAGCATTTGAGTATTTCCTACATAAGGTAATTACTCCTTCAGATTTTTATAGGAAGGTTACTACTTTACTACTTCTACATAACAGATAAATCTATGGCCTACATAAATAGGAATAAATAAATACACAGAGAAATAAAATAGAAATATATATTTACAATACTTATTTTGTACTTATAGTCTAACAACCATTCTCAAACACTTATCTATCAAGTGGATTACTTTAACTACTAGAAATATGTTTCTTAAAATAATTTGCACAAACTCATTTACATACAGGTAAAATTAAAACCAACCTTTTTTTTAAATCGGTTTATAAATTATACTAAAATCCACTTGACAGATAAATAATTCAATATAAATAGCAATATTTTTATCTTAACTGTAAGATGTAAGGAATGTTATAATAAGTCCATTTTCACAATTTCTTCAGCTGTTTTCGCGACATCTTCTTTCGTTACCGGTTTTTCTAACTTTTTCGTAGGAGCTTTTACCGATGGAGATGGCTTTGTCTCACTAGGTTTAGGTTTCTTGCTAATTTCTACGAATTCCTTGTCTATGTCTTGTACTTTTTGTTTAATCTGAAATTAAATTTAATTTATTTGACATGCAGTTTGTCGTCATTAGAAATAAATGTCATACATTAAGGAGTTAAGAAATTTTTAGCTCTGAACGCAACTATTTTTAAACGGTTTTTTTAGCTTTCATAAACATAACGTAAACAAGCACGTTTTAAAATAGTAATCCGCTGGCTTACATAAGAACAATATAACAACACTTTACACTTCTATATGGAGTTGTATTAATCAAAAAGTTATTGTTTTAACTGATTTTTGTACGTAAAAAGTTTCGTAAAATTAAAAGGTAACCTTACATTCTTTAGGCCTAAGTTGACTGCTTTAGCTTTAGTTTTCTTCAAGCTCTTTGCACCAGCAACCTTGAATACATTCGCCTTTGGCCCCTTTTTATTGTTTTTACCCATATTTATTCAATAAAGTGTAATTTATATGAAAATAAACACAATAACACAACACACGTGTGTGCACGCTGCACGATGCAATTGACGGAAAATTGACAAATGACAATGGCAAGTGACAACTGACACGTTTTTGTTTGACACTAGCTAAGATTTATTGTCATTGTCAAAAAAGTTTCTTGATATTCTGAGATTTGGTTTCCAAAATCAAAATGATTTTTAACATTTTCTCTTTTTAAAAACGTGAACCAATCAAGAGATATTGTATTGTACGCAATAAAATTAAAAACATAATGAATTCATGATTGACTTTAACATACATTCTTGTGGTTTCCGAACGAAATATTGAAAGATTGAAAGCAATGAACTCTATGCGCAACACTGTGCTATTACAGTGATAAAGGGGCTCAATATTTATTTGTTTGTTATAGAAAATAAACCGTATTTTACGAATTTACATTTTGTGAAGCAGTACATAAACGCCGTCAAAATTACTTACTACTCTAAATACAACGGGAATATTTCCGCCATGGCTAAGGTACGAGTATTTCACGCTAGTCTATTTCTCACTATCAATTTTTTTATTTGTTGCTCTATTTGCATACTAGACAATCTTGTTGAACAAACCTGTTGTTTGTATCTGGTTTAACTTGTTGAATACTGAGATAGGTACTACAATTTTAAATCGGGAAGCATTCGAGAGTGTTCAGTTGAAGTTATTAGTCGTGATTTATTAATTTTAAAATGGGCGATGTCGTTGAAACTAAGGTGATTATGGACACTTTTGAATTATTTAGTGATCAGGAAGGACAATGCACTTATTAATCGATATCCGATAGTTATTTATCTTTTAACATTATTAAATAATTTTAGAGTTTTATACCTATTATTATCATTTTGTACTCACACTTTTGGTATTATATCTAGAAGCAATAACTATTTATAGATACTTAACGTTCAAGTCCGAACTTTATTTATATTCCTTATCATTCGCTTGTTTTTATAGTTTTCAAAGTGAGCAATTCATAAATCCTCCTTGGTTCTTCATTTGTCCTATTTACAAATTATATTTTTTTCCTTTTACAGCCAGTATTATATTCATACTGGCGAAGCTCATGTTCTTGGCGGGTGCGCATCGCGCTCAACTTGAAGGAGATACCATATGACATCAAAGCAGTCAGCCTAATCAAGGGTGGAGGAGAACAGCACTGTAATGAGTACCGTGAGGTCAACCCTATGGAGCAAGTCCCGTCTCTTTGTATTGGTAAATTATATTTTTATGACTAAAATAGGAAAAAAATTGCTTCTCATCTTTTGTTTAAATAACATTTTTCTTTTCTTAATTTAATTTACTGAGCATAATATGCAAAATGAGCCATTTGATTATATTAGTGGCAGTGGTAATTGTATATGGCACTAATTTTGTTTACTAAAATTTTGCAGATGGACACACACTCGTGGAGTCTCTAAACATTATGCATTACTTGGAAGAGACCAGACCGAACCAAAGGCCTTTGATGCCTCAAGACTGCTTCAAACGGGCTAAAGTCCGTGAAATCTGTGAGGTGGGCATTATATACTCATAAAAGATCATTATTAATTGTGTTAATCGTTAATAATATCTTTGCACAAAGATCTTATAATTTAATAAATGTTACTAGTTAAATGTTCAATAGTATTCATAACTTTATCTATTTATGTTATAGGTAATATCATCAGGCATTCAGCCACTCCAAAACCTGATAGTCCTCATCTACGTAGGTGAAGAGAAGAAGAAGGAATGGGCCCAGCACTGGATCACTCGAGGCTTCAGAGCTGTGGAGAAGTTACTCTCTGCATGTGCTGGAAAATATTGTGTTGGGGACGAGATCACACTGGCTGACTGCTGTCTGGTGCCTCAAGTTTTCAATGCTAGGAGGTAAAGAAAAATTAAATTTTCATTGATTTCATTTTATTACCGCTAAAAACCTTTGTTAGCCTTCTGTCCACCTATAGTGTTTTAGATAAATAAATAAAGATAGGATTATCTATAGGGCAATACAGGCAACTCTGTGTCAGTTTCTATGTGAAAGATAGACAGACAGATTTTAATGCAGGTTTCAAGAAAAGATAGTGGTTGGAATGGAAGTGAAGCCGCAAGCAGAATATTAAAAGAAAATGTTTTGTAGGTACCCAAATAATAAACATATTGATTTAATGTTAATGGTCTTATTCCAGATTTCATGTGGACCTGCGCCCCTTCCCAATTATTCTGCGTATCGACCGTGAACTGGAGAACCACCCAGCGTTCCGTGCAGCTCATCCCTCCTCACAGCCTGACTGCCCGCCAGAAGTCGCTAAATGAGCCAGAAACAGTGCCACGTCCACAAATTGGCCGCATACACCTTCAAGTTCGCTGTTACAGCGCTACGTTTGAATTTCGAAAGAAAATCCATCTTGGAAATGTTGAAATTGGAATAAATGATGCCAATAATCGGTAATCAAGGCAAAATAGAGAAAAAATTGAGTTCCATAAAAACTTATGATATTCGGAATATTAGGAAACCAAAATGCAATACATAAAAGGGTATTTATATTAGGAATAATGTACTCACAAAATTATTACAATAATATGCGTCTAAATAACCAATTTGTGGACATGGTATGCTATGGGAAACTTGAGTTTTTATTTAGTTTTTTCGAGATTTTTGCATTTTTATACAAAACTCCTTATATTACTTTTATTTACCCAAATTAGTCTTAAGCTTTTTATTCTAGTCTAGTCTTATAAATAAGTTTAAGCCAATTCGTAAGGTTTTGGGTATTAGGTTACTATTATGTGGATCAATCTGTGCAGTTTTAATTTACATTAATTGTAAAATTATTTCCATTAAGTTTAATTGAAATACAAAATTTATGAAATTAGGTATGATAATTTAGATTATACTTGGGATATTATTCTAATTTTAGTAATTTACTGTTTTCGTTTTTGTATATTTTTAGTAAATAAAATATTTTTTGTTCAAAATGTTTTTTTTTTCTTTTAATCGGTTTTAAAACTTCCCCTAAAATAATATTTTTATATGAGAGGGTGGCAAACTAGCACTTAGCAGACAGATCACCTGAGTAAGCAATTGATGATAATTATCATCAACAAATCAATATCAAATCCGGCCCTCAAAGGATGAGGATGAGGGATAGGGACAAGGCTAAACACATTGCAATAAAATTAGTAATTATGGTTGTTTCACGCCGGTTTTCAGTGAGGCCGTGCCGTGAAGTGGTAGGTATCTGGTATCATCCAAGTGGAGTGGACCCATTCGTGGTTTTCCCATCTAAGTTTTAATTTGTGGATTTATTATATTACGTGTACCTTGCGTAACGTGGTGTGACATATTGTATAATTCGAATATGTTCTGAACTATGCATGTTTGGATTAAAATTAAACAAAAAATGATAACAACTATTTACAAATTGTAATTACAGTATTTTTGTTATTTCAGAACGCATCGATAAAGTGACATCTCTTACAAACTTTTGACAACTTGTGGTATTGCAAGCTTTGAAAAGTTACCCAGTATTATGGAATATTTCTGAATCAAATTAAAATAGTGATTTTTTTTACTTCATATAATAATAATACATAATATTGAATTCTGATGAAAGTTCTTTGATTTACACATAAACTGGATTGAAATTGGGTTGTGCATTGAATCACGTTTCAAGAAGAGATTTTGACAAAATACATAATTCTCATTTCCGAATGTTTCACATAGAATTCATATATTGATTCTATTCAACTTCATACATATTTAATTCTCTTTTAAATGCAATACAAAAATATTCGAGAAAAAAATCGGGTACTATTTTTTACTCTAATCAAGTAGAGTGGTAGTGTGGGTACAGCGCGGCAACACTGGGCAGCTGGCTGTCAAACGTATCGAACGCCTTCGGTCGGCTCGCTGCGATTCACCAGTCGACCGTGCTATAAATTTACAGAGTATTGTTGTGATTGCGTCGGCATCGGCTTCGTGTATGAACTGTGTTATAAAAATGAATACAGTGTCGTGTTTAGTGATTAAATAACAATGCCAATTGTAATGTACACTAGTGTTGTGCTGTGAAACCGTTGTTTGGTGCTGTTTAAGATGACCGAGAAAAATAAATCGGAAAAGATGACTAATGCATCCAAACCTGTTCCCATGAAACTTTTTGCAGCCTGGGAAGTGGACAGGACGCCTTCCAACTGCATTCCCAGGTATTATTGTTGTTATAGAGGTTGAAAAAGTGTTATGTTTATGTTAAGTTATGAGTTTCACATTCCGCCGAATGTTAAGTTTGTAATGCCTTGATATTGGTTGGAGATTGTATCTTTGGGTATGTGTCTGCAGTGTTATGTTGTTTATAACGATGTTTTCGTGGGGCGTCGCTCGTAATCGGCTCGCCGGCTTATCGGCGTGATGCCACATAGTATTGTTCGCCTAGATTATACGAAGCAGTTGTTGTAGCGACAGCTCCGCACTTTTACACTGTTGATTACAGTTCAAACTGATTTAAACTACCGAATAATCATTAATATCATGAGTTTATTATACTCAGTGTGCTCTTCTTGTCTAGATAATGCTAATTAGAATCACCATACAATATCTGAAGTCTTGTAAAATACTCATAAGTAAAAGAAGGTTGAACTTGTTAAAACCTCTTTACCCTATAGTAGAACTTGTTTAACAAAATTATTTACAGTTCATCAACATCAAACTAGAATTTACTATTATCCTTATTAGAAAATAAAAAAAATAAGTATTATTGACTTTAAAACAATAACTCAATAACTCAATGCCTTTAGTTATTAATAATAACAGGAAAATAAGTTGCAACATACACAATAAAATTTCAATAACACAATAATAACTATTATCAAAATCCTTAAATAAATAAATAATTGATTATAAACTTTATGGTAATTAATTTAGTGTCATTATAACTTAATTTCTTAGAAACAATACTATTACTTAATAAATGTAAAACAAACTAAGTATTACTATTTTATTATATTGTTAACCTTATTTTATAATCAGTGGCAATATAATAATATTATATTTAGTATTTAGACTTGTAAATATAATGTTAGTTAAGTCTTTAGATATAAAGTTTGTATGTTATGTTTGTAGTGGTAACAGAGGTCTATTAAATTGTCTATGAAATTGTTTGAGTGAAAAATAATATTAGGAAAGAGAACTCAATAAAAAAGATATTGTTGCAGAACTGGTTATAATAATATGATTATTCAGAAAGACTTGTTAAAAAATAACTTTTTTAAAATTTTTATTAATTAACTCGTTGAGTACCGGTTTTATAGACACAATTAAAGAACAATAGGTTGCGGTCACCGGTGACCGCTTGGTGTTTGACAGATTAAAAGAAATAAGAAATACCTAGATAATTTTCAGTTTCATGTTACAATAAATTTATACTATGCCATGCATTACTGATTAGCAACAGACACATACATAAATTAAACTATAGTTTTATTAAATTATTCTTATGTATGACATCTACATGAAAAAAAAATGAAGATAATAGATATGATGTCTTTGTATTAAGAACTTCTTTTTATAAAGTTCAATGGCTGTTGTCTATGTACATACTACTTACATAATAACTGATACATGACTCTCAGTAAGCACATTGTAAATAACTAACTACTCAAAAGATAAGATTAGGACACTTAAATGTTTTAATGAAGCAATTATCGTCAACGACAAATATTATAATTATTATCTGTTAATTTGTTTAATAAGTAATGTGTTATACTATTTTTATGCTAACCTTCTAACCTCATACTAATTTCCCTGTTCAAATTGTCATTAGTTTGATGTATTATCAGGAAGATATTTACTACAGAATATGACTGCATGGTTGGTGCAGTGGCTGGGCCATTGTTGTTTCGAATCTGGGTGTCATGTGTATGAGAACTTGTATGTTTGTAAACGCACCTATGACATAGGAGACGATCCTAGTGTGTGGCAACATTTATTTAATTTTTTTTTACAATCCAAAAATATGTGGGTCGTTTCCAATGGGTTTCGGATTTATATGAAGCGATTTTTATGTTCGATCACAAACACATCACAATTGCACAATTGAATGGGGGCCCAATTATGTATATTTGTATATTTTTTTGTATGCACGTGAATACCGATAGGGATCGATATCAATTACATATAATTTCCCCTAGTCCATTTCACCACCGTACCACCAGATGAACAGCGGGCGCCACCCTTATATGGTGGACATGCCACCCATTCGCACGAAGCGTTTCGCGTCAAGCTTCCTCATGCGAACCGCTAACGAATGGAATTGGGTAGTTGCCTGGGTCAAAAATAAATTATTTTGATTTTTCAATCCAATTAAATATTGAAAAATACTTACAGTTTCATTCATTGATTTGCCGATATACTTAATTTTAGATTTATTCTTGCATTTTCTTCAGATATAAGTGTGCTATTTGACGCGAAAATATGATGAAGTCATAAGCTAGTATTTCGTACAAAATTCATAGAACAGTATCGTTTTTGACGTTTCGATAAAAGTATTGAATTTGACTAGTTGTCAACTACCGTATTCCTTGCCAGAGTCTTATGTTTCCCATCAAAAATGACTTGGGTGTTCAAGTGCTGAGTGAACAGGTTGCTCATAGTACTTACTTAATTATAAATTAACTATAACCAATTGCAAAATTATGAATGTTTTTATAAGTAGGTAATAAATCGAAATAAACATGTACACTTTTTCCTTAAACTGTCATTTGTGAGTCAGCAGTCAGTCAGCCTTTAACTACTCACAATAGGAATTTTGCTGTACAGCTTGACTGCACGTTTGGCGCTCAGGATGGGTAATCGGTACACAATATACCTAGGTAATAAGAAAATCGTAAACGAGCAGGACCACGAGGTGCTCATCCTTTTTTCTAATCAGTTCAGTGTTACGTTACTACTTAAGTACTCATGCCAGATACGATTACAGCATCGAAAAATCCGTCTGTCAAAGACATCACAAAGTTCATTTATTTATGCGTGACTGCGCTAAATTACATGCAGCATAAGGTATGTACTGAGCCTCTTCTCAATTGCGTTTGCACGCACAATCCTACACGGTTCAATCAATCCACCAAGCTCGAAGATTAACTATTGAAAATCGTCTCTAGAGGACGTCCATAGTCTACCAGTAAACTATTACGATCTGAAGATGATAGATTCAAAAAGATTTCTGATTCTTTGAGAGCAAAGAAGGTCTCTTAGCAAGGCGTCTCATACTTCCTACAGTATGTTCAAAATTAGCAAAAGAAATGTCATGTAGTACCTAATTGGCTATTTTCCTGTGTCAAAATTACATTATTTTGATTTTTCAATCCCATTTAATATTAACAAATAATTACAATTTCATTTATATATTTGACGATATACTTAATTTTCGATTTATTCTAGCATTTTTTTCAGAAATAAGTGTGCTATTTGACTCGAAAATATGATGACGTCATGTTAGTTTTTGATCCAAAATTCATAGAACAATATTGTTTTTGACGTTTCGATAAAAGTATTGAATTTGATTAGTTTGTAAAATACGTATTGTGCGGTGATGGCATTTCTCTTCTTTCTCTTCCTCTCCCATAGCCTCACGCACTCCATTCACACGAGTGCCGTAGGAAACAGTACCGATATGAACGATTTGATTGGCATGTGGGTGTCGCGCACAGGATGTTGTTGATTCACAATAAATTGTCACTGTTTGATTACGTTTTTAACGCAAGGCCGGCGCGTATTATTCAATTGATTTTTTTTATTCCTTGTCCGTAGTCCTAGCATGTGTACTGTGTGTGCAGGGCCGTGTAGGATAAAGGGAAATAAAGATGTAGGACGGAGATATAAAAATGGTTATGAATGAGTAGACTTGTTTTCTAACGAATATTTATTAACTAAGTAACTATCTTTTAGCGGAGCGTTTTGCACAATATTTTGCTCGTGAAGTACTTAGCCTGGTTTGACTAACACAATACACGAGAAACGTATAAAAAATACTACGAAACAAAGTAATCTCAATATGTATGGAACCACCGAAGCGTGTTCCGAAACGCGTAACAGGAGGAATAATCAAGTTAAAGCCGCTGTTTCTGAGCCAGTCACGTTAATCAACACATAACTATATTTACATTTGAATAGCTGAAGCCTAAGTTCGTGCATTCAACAAGGAAATGTACCACGAACCCGTTTGCTCGAAAGGTCGTGAGCACGGCTTGCCGACTCTAATTGCAGAAAAAACTAGGAAATAAGGCCTTAACACTGGGGTAATGCGGCTATAAATACTTTTCTCTGTGTTAATATCGTTTCGATCACGTTTTCTCATCGTATTAACATCTTTCTGCCGCCATTTTTACGCTCTATATATCATACAAACATAAGTTAGATAACAATTAAATATGTAAGTATCACAAACTTGTGTTATATAATTAAGTGGTTTCAAGTGCGTATGTTTACTTACGTAATGAGGAATAGACAAACTTTCCACCTCTCAGGAAACTGGTTTCTTGTCCGACTGTTTTCTAAAATCTAATCGACAATGTTTTATAGCAAAAAATGTGCCTAAATTGCTAAGTCTAAGTCTATGCTGAGATCCATTGCGTATAGCCGATCCAGTAACCTTACAACCATTTTTATTTCTTCAGTCTATTATAAATAAATCTTGAGTTGTTGTTTCTATCCGTAAATTAACTGTCAACACAAAGTTTTTTCAAAAACAATGTTAACCAAAGAACCGTTTATCCCTCGCCTTTGCGGGGATTATTATTATCCGTAAGAAACAGTCTTTGTCAAGGAAAAGTATTAAGAAATTTTCTGCCAAAATGAAAGTTTTTTACGCAATAAAACATTGGCGGAAAATCCCTTTTTTGGCGGAATGCCTTGTGGCAGTCTCCCGTGATGGAAAAAAAATAATGCTTGGTTGGATATACGAGAGCTTTTTGGAGATTTAGTAGTTTCTATCAGTTTTGCTAAGAGCCATTTTACTTATGATTCAACCTACATACATGAAATACATACAACCTAGGGCTGATAAAAATTTTGCTAACTATACCTACCCGATAGTAGAATCCACCTAATAATGAACCTTAACACCATCGATGTGAATTGGTTTCTTGAAAGGGACAAAAATACACCAAAAGACCAATAGAAACCTCATTAAACTACTACTGATTCTATATTT